TTGATTTATCTCAACACCATTTAAAATACATGAATTCAGAGCTTTTGAAGAAGAGGAAGGAAGGGAGGAGGGATGGAGTAGTTAGAAGTCCAGTCTTTTCCTGGCAGCAGTAATTACTCATCCTGTAGTTGCCTGATGGCATAGTTGGACAATTATTTTTAAACCCTAGGTGAAGCTCAGATTAGCTTGTTATTCTGTGATGGGTGTTTTGCAAGAACATTCATAATTACTTATGTTAATATTGGTAACATAGAAAAATTAATTATAAACTAGTAATGAACAGGTAGCTTTTAATTAGAATTTAAAGGGTTATTTCAGGTATCCGTTTTCTCACTTGCACTAGCAATGATATTTAAGTAATATTAAGGCAAAATTACATAATCAAAAATCAATAAGTGGAATAAGACTGCTTGGCAAATTAATTCAATAGAACAATTAAATTTATCATAATTTTAATGAAATGGAAATATTATTTTTCTGTAATGCCCTTCATTTAATATACGGAGCATTTCTTTTTTTTCGGAGTCCTGAGTTACTCCTATCTGATCCTTGCATTTTCAAGTAGAAAAGATGGGTGCACAATTGATGCTCGTTGATGATAAGTTTGGTTTGAGTTGACATGCTCAGTATGTGACAGGAGTTTCCTGGAAGAAGCAAGGAGATGACAGAGAGATGTTCTGGTTGGCAATGAACTGGCATGGTGAGATGCACTCCAAAGTGAGACTGTTCTTGCAAAAATACAACATAGGCATTCTTTATAGTTTTCAGTGCTAGTTAAAATAACTCTGTTTAAGTAGATACTGACATTCCTATTTTATCTAAGCTGAATTAAAAACTGTTCATAGTAGTAGTTTCCTTGCAGATTGGTAGATTTGCAGCAGTGACAGCTAAAGGCCTTGGAGTCTTCCACCAGCATAACTAAACCTGAAAGAAAACAACTTGCATTGCTGTTTTCTTGTCTATTCCTTTTCTTTTCTTTTTTTTTTTTTTTTTCCCCCCTCATTTATATTGCCTTCAGAAAATCTCTGGCCATTTCAATAACTTGTCAGTAAAAAAAAGTCAAATATGTAATTCAGGTCAGTTTTTGTGTGTGATATCTGAGTTCTCACTCATGTTTGTGCAAATCCCTGACATTCTCAGGCTTGAGCCACACTGGTTTAATGTAAGTAGTTTTCAAAATCAGTTAACCAAACATATGTTTCTGTGCGATCATGTTTAGTTTGGTTTAATCAGTATTGAATCAGTACCTCTTTCCAGTTAAAGTGTGGTTTGGATTTATAACTGAAATGCAGTTCAGTTCTCATTTAGTGTACAGCAGTTTAACTCTTCCTGGTCCAAATGAAGCAGCTCAGCATGAAACATCATTTAAAAGTAAGAAATCATCACTTGATGGAAGCAGGCCAATAACTTAAACTTTACACTCAATTTTCCTTTTGCATTCCAGAGCTCATGTACCATTTTCAGTGTCACTGGGATCTTCTTTGTAATCGTCAAATAGGCCAAATTGCTAAAAGCAAACTGGTGTGCTCCTATCGTGGCAGTTTTGTGCCTGAAAGTAAGAAATAGAAGCCAAAAGGCAGAAAGCTGTACTCTTCAGTTACTCTCCTGGTTTCAGCTGTGCCTGTGTATATACACTGGAAATAAATGCTGAAGACTGTTCAGTGAGTTATGCTGAGGAAACTCAAGCTAATAGGTCCTTGCAAGTACCTTAAGAATGTTGGTTGCAGTAGGAAGAAAGAATTCTACAGATGTCTGCACTGGAAAAACAAGGGTTAAGGTATAGTCAGCACTTCCCAGTGAGAGTAGTTTAGTTATGACTTCTTTCAGGAATGTGTGAAAAAGGCCTTATTGAGAAATGGAAGTTATAGAAGAGAAACAAAGATGTTGTGCAAGCTGTCTGAGCTGTGTGGCGATAGCAAGATGAGAAGAGAGATGGCACGATGCAGTTTTTGCTGCTCACTCTGCAAACAGTTCCCCTGCTAAGTAAGCTCTATTTCACGTAAATGAAAAGTTAGAATTCAGAACTTTTTGTATTAGCTTTGATTGCTTTGGTTAAACTGTGGGATTTGGTTTAGCTGACACTGCTGCAGTTTTTCTTCCATGATGGCTCTACTGGCTCAGCTCTCATGGGACAGATGAAGCATATGCCAGCCAAAGGAGTTCTTCTGCTACCTTCTGTGCATGATTAGCTAAACTGAAAAAAACTCCCACTAGTCTGTCAGCATAACTGTACCTGTATTATTATACCTGTAGTATTTAGAGAAATGTGCCTAGGTTGTTAACCTTATCTTTATTTGTGCAAATCATTATTGCAGACAGTTTTATTTCTCTTTATTGACTGTTTGACCTCCGCGTTTGCAGAAAATACAGAAATCATCTGGAAGTCTAATTCAGTTCTTCATTGTGTTATTGACCTTCTAAGATTTGTGCTATGTAACAAACTATATCACCTTTTGAATGTGATTCAGCCTAACATCAATTACATGGGGCATTATTTTGAGTAGAGTTTTAAACCAAACTTTGTTTTCTTAGCTATCTTTTAAGAATGTCTGTTGAGAAAGTGTCAGCAGCCCATATTATTTGTGATACCTACAGCTTTGTTGTAGGAAGGAATTGCATTTGACAGTTGACTGTAAACTCTCTTAAAAATCCTAGATGTGTATTCAGTGCATATAACTTCAGTTTCCTGATTGAAGCACCTTAAGTCAGCAGCATGCATGACCTTACCTGCCTGTACTGTAGGAGAGAAGTCAACTGTGTTGTTTTCTGGAGATTTGAATCAATCTCTGTATGCATTTTTCCTACTGTACAGACAGAGTAGCATGTGATCAAACTTGGGTACCTCTGTAAAGATGCCCGAATGCACTCAGGATTAGTACAGGCAATGGAAAGATGATGTACTACCTGAGGCAGGAAACTGGAAGGAGCTTGGATTCTTGACTAGCCTGTCCTGCTAAGTGAGAGTCTTTACAGACATGTGGCAGTGGATTAAAATCAGATGTGATGTTACCTCATCAAGCCATCTGCCAGCTCCTCTGGTGAGCATTGTTGCTTCTAGTAGAGACATGAGTCACTTCTGAATGAGCATCTGAAGTACCTGTTTTCAGCCCAATTAATATGATTGGCTGAAAATTAGAGCAGGTCCAGGACGTGTGCCACAGGCAGGATAGATGACTGACAGTGATAACTGCCTGAAATAGAATGGCTAAGCTGACATAAGTGTTATCCAGTCTTTAGTCTGTGAACACTTTTGTGCATCTCTCTCACACAAGAATAAGTGGATGAGGTTAATATCATCTTTCATTTTGGGAAAGGAGATATGAAGTATTATGCATGTAAAGTATTATTTAAATATGTTAATTTTCATAAGAGATTTCAGGTGAGGTCTTCCAGTGAGTTCTGGTAGCTTGGCAACCCAATACAACTCAGCCCATCACTAAGTGAGACCTGGAAGGAAAGATGACATTCAGGAAGGAAGGGATTATTTCCCAGCAGTTAGATTTGACTTTCTGTTGGGAGCTGTGAAAAACACAAACACCCTTTAAGGTGGCATTAATGATAAAGCAGCATTACTTTTTTCCTTCCGTTGTTCCTGTCCAGTATAACTGCTTTGCTGAAGGTGAAGCACTTGTCTGGCTGTGCAACAAGTGGGGCTACAGAAAGAAACTACTCAGCAAAAAGGTTTTGTTTTTTTTTTTAACAGATTTTATTCCTCAACAGTTTTGTGTGTAGCTACAAAAAAAGTTTGTGCTAGCATGAGTGAGTAGGGAATTGACTGCATGGGAATGACTTTGTGGGGGTTTCAGTTGTTTGTTGTTCAGTGATGACTTGTGACCCCTAGGATTGTGTCTAACATCTTGTTTTGTTAAACATGTTAAAAGCTTAAGGAAAAAAAACCAAAACATGTTAAACAGAATCTATCGAATTTTCATTTGTATTTTGTCAGGATTGTTTGCTGATCAGTGATTTTCCATTGCATCTGATGGTATTTTTTGTTTTACATCAGTACTTTGTAATTGAGCTAAGCTTTCCATATCTATTAGAAATGCTCTTTTTTTTAACTGGGATATTTCTGATCAGCTTGTCAGTGCTTGTTGTTTTATTTTTATAAAGTGTGTTAACAAAATGTAGCATCACTGTGAGAGTGAAACAGACTTGAGGATCAACAGCAGATTGGTGAAACTGGCTCTCAGTTTCTTCTCTGTCTCTTTTTAAGAATGTTTGCAGCTCATAGCACTCACCAGGACTGCTTAAGTTTGCTGCTGTGTTGGTTTAAGCTGCTTGATGAGCTTACACTAAGATACCAAATGATGATTTAAAGCAGTTGAGACATGGGCACGTGTTTCCTTATGCCATCTTTGTTGCCTGGAGTGAAAAATTTGAGTCTAGAGCGATGCTGTGACTTAATTAACTGCTCTAGTCTTTTGCTTGGTGAATGTGAGAGCTCTCCGTGTAAGAGGCACTGAAAAGTTATGTCACTTTCTCTTTTTATTCTATTTAGCTGACAAATGTTAAGAAATGAGTGAGAGTCTTGTCTTTTTTTCTATTTTTTTTTTTATTTCAATAGATACATTTAAATATGGGAAATAGGAAGAAAGTCTGACCTCATCTTTTGCCATATTTATGCTTCTGTTGCTTATTTTCCTAAATTACATCAGTGAAATCATAATTGTTTTTCTTTTTGAGAGGAATTGAGGAAATAAGTATGGAAATAAGTATGGATTTCTGCTAAACTACAGAATGTAATTGTTATTACACTTTAAAAAAGAAAAATATTTAGAATGAGATGAGTGACCAGAATTCCAGGGGAAAAGAAACAAATGTTTAATGTAACCTAAAATAACATATATTGAAATTTCATTTGACAGTGGCATTGTTTGTGCTTCCAGTTTTGTATGTGATTGCATAACGGACAATTGAGAAACTGTTCACTGAGGGAATGTGTATGATAAAGCACAACGCTGGTTGAACATTTTTCACTGATGTGTACTCTCTAACAGGTTTGTTTGTATCTGACGTAGATCCTGGCTCTGCCGAACGCACTGCACAAAAAAGGAAGTTTCCCAGCCCTCCACATTCCTCTAATGGCCACTCACCCCAAGATGCATCAACAAGTCCCATAAAAAAGAAAAAGAAACCTGGTCTATTGAACAGTAATAATAAAGAACAGGTAAGAGAAGTCCTGGTCTTGTTATGCTAGACCAATGAAAGATGAATGTAGAGACAGCTGAACAGGAGCCCCCTCCTCTCTAGGAAGCTTCATTTTTGTACTAGAAAGTAGATATTCACTGAGGGTGCATTGGGAGTAGGAGTTGGCATTCTAAGATAGATTTGGGTGCTTAGAATTTTTTTTTAAGATTTATATTTTTAGTGTGAGAGCATGCTTTTTGTTGTTAAAACTATCAGGACAGTAAATAAAATTAAAACGAAATATAGAGGGATGTGATGTTCTAGGTTAAGAAAGATACCATAATATTACAGGGATGCCCAGACTGGGAATCTGTCATCTGTTCCCAGTCTTCCTGCCAATTGCTAACAAAAGTCCTGCTGCTCCCATGATACTTCACAGATTCTCTCCCCGTCCTTTAAAATGATGAGCAGTAAATATTGCTACCAAAGTTGATGAATCAAAGGATTATACTGGCAGTATTTTTCAGTCTTCATGTTTGAAATGTCATTTTCAGTGACTCCTGAATACTGAATTTATAGCATTTGTTGTAGCTCGTGAAAGAACTTGACTCCAGAAGACTGACAATTTCAGAGTCTTTGTATGATGCAAATGAAGAAATTGTATGAATTACATTGAATACCAAATGCCTTAAAGCAGCCCTATCATCCTGGAGGAGGTTACATGAAAGCAATCTTTAGCTCCACTAAAATGATTTCTCATCTAGTTTGCAGATGAAGTGACTATGTTTTGTTCAGTGTGCTTTTGTGTGCTAATGTGTCTTACTACTATCTTATAAACAGAGGATTAAGTTGTGTGGATTTGAAGCTTTTTTTCCCCTCATGTAATAGCACCTGCATTAAACATCATCCTGGTACAATTGTACTGGTTTAGAAAGAAAATGAAATTCCTAATCACTGCAGTTTATTCTGGAACAGATACCTTGAATAAATAAGGCCAAAGAATGGTCTTTCAGTGCTAAACGTATTTTATTTAGATTACTGGGGAGGTCTAGTAACAACATGCATAGGCACTGCTGATGTAGTTTAATGTTGTCAGTTTGGCTTTTTCTGAGTTCACTGTGGGCTCTTAGAATTCCTACTCATCTCGGACATTTGCAAGGGAGGTGATGTTGTTGTGCTGCAGTTTGGGTTTCTAACTGTGCATTGTAGAGATAATGGTACGGACAGCGAGGCTGAATCTTAGAAGATTCCTTTCCACTGTTCCTTCATGCATCTAAAAATACACTGTGAAAAAATAATTATAGTTGTTGAACTCAATATATCCGTTTCCCTCGGTAAATTGTTTTCTGTTTTCCAGGTATTTCAAACCTGAAATACTACAGGATAGAAAAGTTGTGTAACTAAACAAGAAAAGCAAACTAGGCATATTGCTTAGCTGTACTTGTTATAAGTTAGAAAGGGAATATCATTTGTTTGGGGTTTTTTTGGTTTTTTTTTTATTTGTTTTTTGCTTTTGTAAGTTGCTCTTAATTTAATACTGTCCTTCTTGCCAAATTTGAAATGGACATACCTGAAGGTGATTGTTTCTATCACGTGTACCAAACTGCTCTATATAATAGCAGTTAATGTTAAAGATCCTTTAACTGCTGAAGAGATGTAAGCTAAACACACAGTTACTTGTTTTGCTCCTAGTTTAGGTTTCAAGAATAATGTAGCTGTTAGCTGTGATTCTGCTTGGCTGATAAATCCATTTTGAGGTCTGACAACATCAGTGGAGCCTCCAGATTAATATTCTTCACCACTGAGTGTTTGGTAGTGCTGGTGTGTATCAAGATACCATCACTAAAGCTATCATTGCACAATGCTTTGTACTAAGATGCTACGGATGTGCAGAATGGTGCCGACAGGTATTCAAAGTATTGAAATACAACAAATTATGGAGATGTAGAGTATAGCTAAAAGAGGTTAAAAAAAAAAAATCAGGAACGTACAACACTTGGTCAGCTATGATATATTTGAAGTAGCAGCTTTTTTCCTACCTAGCTTCAAATTTAAACTGGCTAGAAATAGTAACCTTTTTCTTGCCTAAAAAGCACTACAAATACTGTTGTTTTTCCTTCAGTTTTATACATATCTTACTAACATTACTGAAACTGTAAGAGCAAGCTGCCACTTGAGCTTGAACTGACTTTTGAAACTGTTTGGAGAACAAAGCTTTTCTTTCATGACTGTTAACATTTAAACTCTTAAAACATGTTGCTCTGATTAGAACAAGTGAAAGGCCCCTTTGATGTCGCTCAGGGGTTTGTTTTCCGTCATTTAGTTCTGTTGTTTGGGTCTTTTTTGAATCTCATTCCTAACTTCTTTCTTTCCTGGCCCTCAGCCTTAGCTCAGACAAAACAAGGTGATATGTATCTGAAAGATAAGAACATCCTCAGTCAGAGAATTAATTCCTTCCATGTTCTAGCAAAAAAGGACTATTTTATTTAGATACAATAAGCTCATTTCTCTGTAATTGTTTACAGATTTTAAATTTTTTTTTAAACAGGAAGTCAGTGTGGATGCGCTGCCCATAGCTGCATCTCCAACTACCAAGACTTCAGTTTCAGAATCTCTGAGTATTGAGATTTTGGTCTTAAGCTGTGGTGCATGTAACCACAAACAAAACACACTTCTGCTGTCAATTGTAACTTTCTCTTTTTCGCTCTGGGTTTACATGTGCACTTCTATCCTGACTTGAATGATTGGCATAGTAATACATTTGAAATGTAGGTAAAGCCTTTCCCTGCCCCCAAGAGCGCATAGAACCTTCCTTGTGGAGGTCTGGTTGTATTATATGTTTAAATGTATATACAGAGAAAGTACAGAAAATAATGCTCAGTCCATTTGTGTACTATCTTTTTAGTAGCTGCAATGTGTGTAGAAGAGGAAATGAAAACTGCTAAAACAGACAGAAATTCAAGTGGAACTTTAGGTAGCAGAATGCTTTTGAAATTGCAGTAAAATTTTATGGATAATATTCTTTCTTTGCATGAAATATTATACAGTAATTGATCACTAGAAGTAATGTATCTTCCAGTGTATCTTTTGAGGTATTATATCTCCAGCTGGATTGTCATAGAATACTTCTTCTGCATCACCTAACTTTGTCACTGAAGGCCTTCTATTCATGAAGATAATTAGACCTTGTCCTTTGTTACTTTATAAATCTAGAAAGATCACAGTCTGAGCTGATGGTGGTTTGTGGTTTATAATGTATGTCCTATGTGACCAGTTTTGTACAGGGTGCTGCAGAGGTACCCAGCTTTTGCATATTGTTCCACTGCTTTAGCAGTCAGGCAGGCATGTGACAGCTCAAGGGCCTAAGAAGTTGTGAAGCTCTGTATGATGTAGGAAGTGCACACAATTACCTGAGAACCAAGGTGGTTCTGCAAACTATAAGCAACTGGTTGGGTAGTTACAAACAAATAGCTTTATATCAAACAAGAAGTCACAGCGAATAAACAGCATAAAATTTGTGATTATTTATCTCCATCCCCTCCTCCTTTAATTAATACCAAACGGAAAACTTAAGTTCCCTTATTATTAATAAATATAACTCAGTTTTCCAATAATTATTTGCTTCTCTTCATATCCAGTCCAGGAAACATTGGGTATCTGTTGTCCAATTTTGGCTCTCCCAGACTCTCTGTTCCCATGTTCTGGTGTCATCTGTGTCACCTTTAAGCAGTTTGAGGCACAAGTGAAAGAGCAGTCCGTGTAGTTTATGAAGTTAACCTTATTTTCTAGTGCAGACAAACCAGTGGAGATTGTGTCTTAAATTCTTATATGTGTGTAAATGGTGGATTAAATTTTTCCCCAGGTTCATGCTCCTGGGGTCACCTTGTTAAAGTTGTAAATCTGCTTCTGTGCCATCCTACTTTTTTTTTGGTTTATCAGTTAAAATCAGCATGAATTCTGGTTCTGAAAACTTGTGACTTACTGTAATTTAGGACAGGTTTATGTGGTGCTCAGCTACTTGTTTCAGGACTGATTAATTTCTTCAGTTGTGCCAGTTTAGCCACCACTACATCCCCCATGGGATTCTGAGTTTGAGGATGTTGGATTGCACGACTTGCATTTGATGTCCTCATTTGCCACAAAAATTTATTTTGAGTGCTGAGTATAATATGCATCATTTGGCATCTGAATATGAAATGAATCTCTTCATGAATGGTTTTGTGCAATAAATAAGATACTGTGCTTACATAAATGTTAATCAAACTCTGTAGATTGCTGTTTGATTTATATATAATGATATTTATTGCTATGAATGTTATTTTTTATGAAATGCAAATTTGTTTTGAAACCAAACCTGTTTTTCTTGCCTACATTTCAGTCAGAACTAAGACATGGTCCGTTTTACTATATGAAGCAGCCACTCACCACAGACCCTGTTGATGTTGTACCACAGGATGGACGGAATGATTTCTATTGCTGGGTTTGTCATCGGGAAGGCCAAGTCCTCTGCTGTGAACTCTGCCCTCGGGTTTATCATGCTAAGTGTCTGAAACTGACAGCGGAACCAGAGGGGGATTGGTTTTGCCCAGAATGTGAGGTTAGTTTGATACAAGGAGTGGATTTCTTCTGCAAATGAGTGATACAAGCAGCTTTTTTTACATTCCAGGATGTTTCTGTTCTATTCTTATATTGCCTCTTGATATCAGAAAAAGTTGTGTGAAAAGGGAGCATCTTTTGCTGCTTCCTTACTTTTTCTCTGTGCGTTCACCTGGACTCTATTGGCCATGACTCTTCAACTTCTTACCATCTCTAGGGAAGGCCAACACATTTTGAAGAGTGATCCCTACATCTTACCTTTAACTCTGAAAACATTTCACAGTTTTGTCTAGTTTACTTCATGCTGCTGCTTGTGGGCTGATCAGCTCTGCAGAGTGCTCAGAAGATGTGCAGGGTCTACATAAATAAGAGGATATTATTAGTACTATATGTTTCTGCAGGTCTGAGGAAGAATTTAGCTATTCCTCTCCAACAATTTCTGGAGAGAGAATAATTAGCATCATAGTATCTACAATGAAAGTAAATTGGTTTATCAGATGGCTTTTTTTTTTTTTGGCCGCGTATTGCATTATTTAGAGCCCAGATGACTTATTTCCTCATTCATGTTGCTGTGAATTTGCACTGTATTGGGAATTGTATATATTCCAACATCGTCTTATTTGGGTGATCTAAAAGATGAATGTAGTTTCTAGACTTTTCCCTTTTTATATATTCATTTACTTATTTAGGCTAACGTATCCAGAATTCAACAAGTTTCTGAAGTATTAATGCTGCTTCATCAAAAATATTTTGTTTCTTAGGAAGTAGTTGTTATCTTCTGTCCAAATGCTGGGATTTTTTACTGGAGAAGAATTCACCTAGAAATGTTTGCTGACAATATTTTTTTCATCCTAATTTTTAGAAAATCACAGTTGCAGAATGCATAGAAACACAGAGTAAAGCTATGACAATGCTCACCACTGAACAACTATCATATTTGCTCAAGTTTGCACTACAGAAAATGAAACAGCCAGGGGTAAGGAAGATTTTTTTTTTTTAGTGCTTGTTTTGTATGTTTGTCATAATATTGGGTTTTGCTTCCTTTTGTTGAGCTGAGTCTAGCTTATTTTATCAGATTTTCTGCTGTCTACCACCTGTATATTACAAACAGCTTAGTTCAGAGTGTGCATGCTGTTCTGGAATGCATACAAAACAACAAAACACAGTTCTTTGATGCAACTGCTGGAGATAGTTTCAGTAAATGTAGTGAAGATACAGCATAGCTTTCCAATAGGAATTTGTTTTCTCACTCACTGAAAGTGAACAATGCTGTGCCTTTTCTGAGGTGCAAGGGAAATGACAAGGTGTGGTTTCTTACCAACCCAGGTATGTGGGCAAGGCTCTAGGTACAGGTAATGTTAAGTAATTGATTATAACCCTTGAAAAACCTCTCTTTCTTCTGTTAGTAGGAATTGTTCTCGCCACAAAAATTAGTTGTATCGAATATTTGTAAAACGCTGAATTTCTTCTCAGTGCAGTGACAACCTGGGCCATCAACATGCGTACTGCAGGAATCTGCCATCCTATGAACTTTTATCATGGAGGGAAAATGCTGTTTCCTCTAACTTTTACCAATCTCCACATGTCTGTCTTAGACTTAACTCTCAAAATCATCATTGCCTCCTGGAAGTTTCGCACATTCCAGTTCCTCATTCTTTCTTCTGAATTTCTGGTTGCTCTTTTTTCACTATGCAAGTGAAACTTTGACTAGTTTTCACATGTGGGAAGAAAAAAAGTGTAGTAAGATGTTTTAATGGATTGCCATGGCTTATCTGAACTCCTGTTGCTATCTTGTCCCTGTAAATAAATTAAAGGAATCTCTGTGCTTGCAAACATACAGTAAAATATATTGGAAAAACCAGATGTATGGAAGGAATCATGGGTTATTTACAGCTCTGGTGTCTTCATGATAAATATTTTAGCAGAAAAATAGTGACAGTTTCTGGGAAGGTTACTCTTTAGTATTGATAAACTTCAGCTCTTGGAATGTTTTAACTCTGGAGTGGTTAATAGTCTCCTTTTAGAAGGAATCATTAGAAGCTTTAAATGCTGCTTTTCTGAAGCAAAGTATCAGTGTTTGTTTATATTGAGTTGACAAAATGTTTTGAACACGCAGCTTGAAACGCAATGTTTAATGAACATTATGGGGATATTTTGCCCTTTAGACACTTACCTGCTGTTGTTGTGTCTGACAGCTTTAAGGGAACTGCAGCCCTTCGACAACAGCAGATAAAGTGCAGAGTCCCACTGATGGAAGTTTGAATTTATCTGCAAGTCACCATTGCTCTGAAAGTTCCAAGACTGATAAAATTATCTCTAATTCTAGATAATGGAAGTATTTGTTCTCCTAAAAATTATTTGCTGAGCCTCAGCTAATACTCTGCTTGAAGAAGAACTACTGTAAATAAGAACGGTCCATTTTACAAAACCCCAAAGGCTTGTAATTCATTATTTCCAATATATGGAAAATCAGTTATGTGAGTGAGGGCATTTATTTCCTCATTTGCCAGTACTGCATTACTTCACAAATTTTTGCTATTACTTTTAAGTAATTTTCTCTGATACCACAGTTGAAAGTAGTATTAGAAAAAGAGTGACTATTGAGTTGTTGATAAGACTGTTCAGTATTAAGAAGCAGTGTGATTTGTTTTCTCCTAACAGACAGAGCCATTTCAAAAGCCAGTTTCACTGGATCAACACCCAGATTATGCAGAGTATATCTTTCATCCAATGGACCTTTGTACATTAGAGAAGGTTTGTATGAGGCAAAGGTCCTTTGAGTTTGATTGCTGTGGTTAAGCTTTCTGGGTTGTTTGATGGGAGGGAGAGAGATTGCTTGAAATTATTTAAGTGTTTTGATTACAGTTTTGTTATTGGAAAAACAACTGAAAGTGCTACTGAATGTGTCTGTTATGTAGTCTGAGCTAATAGCAAATGCTCAGGAAAAGCAGTATAAAAAAGACAACTTTACCCTGATGAGTTCCTTCTGTGTAAATCCATATAATTCTGGGAATCATCCTGTGGGGAGACTTCATTAGTAAAATTTTACATTTGATCACCATGTTTGTTAGCTATTAATGGATTGCTGGTACACTGATTCACCTTGGGACCATCTGAGTGTATGACCAGAGGTCATTCCAGGCTCATCTGCTGATCAAATATTAGAATGTACAGAAATAGCAAATACGAGAATATTCACTGCACCTGAGATGTGGGAGAAGAAGAAAATGGTAAAGAAGTGGATTACAGGAGTTTGATTGTCAGTTCAGTAATAAGTTAAATGTTTCAAATTACAAAGTTCTTCATTCTCTGTTGCTTTAATAATAGTGTAGCAGTGCAGAGCTTTGTTGTGGTAATGTCTAGTGAGGAGTCCTTATTCTCTGGGCTCTGGGAGCAGAGGTCAATGTCTTTGTGGCATAAAAGTATAACAAATCCATGTCACTGATTTGATCTAACTGAATTACTTCACCAGGTGATAGGCTGGAATATCAAGAACTGGCCTATGGGGTATAGTAAATATATTTTTTTTCTGGGTCTTGTAAAAAAAATTTAGAAATTAAAATGCCAGTGGGCAAAATCAAGGACTCAGTTTTCTGTAGGGACCTCAAGTGGAATACTGCCTCAGGATTGACGAGGTGGTTACTGGTGCTCCTCTGCAGCCCTTTGGAATTATTGAAGATGTTGATCTAAATAGTTCATTGTTGAGAATTGATTTAGACATTTCATAAATATTTAGGGCAATCAAAAAACACTTTGAACTTGGAAGGTGCTGAAGTATTTAGAATTAGTTGTAATGTAAGGTTTTTGTTTTAATAATTGTGTGACTGACAGACAGCAGTGTTTAGGAAGATGTGCGTTTTTGCTCATATTTGTTTTCTGATTTTTAAATGTTTCTTTCCAGAATGTTAAAAAGAAAATGTACGGTTGCACTGAAGCATTTTTGGCTGATGCCAAATGGATTTTGCACAACTGCATTATTTACAATGGGGGTAAGCACAGATATATATACTTCTTTGAATATGAAGCTTCAGATCAGATTAAGCGATGGAGAAATTTGTACGCTGCTGCTTGACAAATGGTGAAAGTATCTTCCTGCTAAATGCTGTAGTTCTAAACGTGACTTATTTAAAAAAAAAAAAAAAAAAAAAAGACCTACATTTACACTTAGGACCAAATACTGCCTATGCTGTCTCTTGCTCAGTAGGAGACCTACCTGAGGAAATGTCCATTACTGAATGGTGTGTCGGTGGTGGGCAGGCTGCAACAGATACAAAAAGGGAACTCATGAAGATCTTTTACTGTGCTATTTTTGCTGGGAAGAGCCTGCCTACTGCTTCTGTTTAGTTTATACCTGTTTTGCATTGTCTTTTCAGATGTTCTATGTTGTCTTCAACATAAGCTTTTTATAACTAAAACCTGTTGATTTTATCATCATTTTATACTAACAGTTTTCTTGGTTAGAGCATTTTTCTTATTGTCTTTTCAGGAAATCACAAATTGACACAAACAGCAAAAGTCATCATCAAAATCTGTGAGCATGAGGTATGTGTACCCCAGTTAATTTGATTGTTCTATCTGTATATTTGAAATATTCCATCGTTTGTATTTGTGATTGAAATAATGTTTCCTAATGTGTGCTTTACAAACTGTAACTTGTGTAGGCTTTCTTATGTTTGGGTTTGCATATTCATGGCTTATAGAAGGATTTTGACAAGGGCATTGCTAATAATATTTTCATTAGGATATTCACTATATGTGATTAAGATTTCAGTGATGGGAGAGAAGATGCATGGGATCTGCACAAGGACACCTGTCTTCTAAATGAATGCTTGGAGGTGGAAAAAGAAACAGATGTTCTGATTTGTAGACATATTTGAGGTGGTTTGTTTGATGTCACAGTATGAAAGCCCTGTGAATAAATGCAAGAACGACTGCCTGCATTTTAGTTGATTGTTTGAACTGATTTTATTTCACTGAGAATTCATAATGCTAATATTACAAAAATTTATTCTAAATGCAGTGTTTTTGAACAGTATTTCATTGATATAAATTATCTGATAATCTGACACTCTATATTTATGTAGAGTGCTTTTCCCACTCCTCTGCTGATGCAGCAATATCCATAATTATAGTAAGTTTTGAGAATGTATCCATTGTTTAGAGAAAGAAAATTGTGTATGACCTGATTCTGACTTCCTAATTGGCTTATATAATCTGAAAAAAAGAGAACAAAATATTTTCTTTTTTGTTCTCCCTAAATTATTTTGGAATTAAGTGTTCAGCTGAGGTTAATTTTTTGCCTCAGAAACAAATGATGGTCAGTAATTCTCTATCACTGTAATAAATGCAACACTAGAGACAGAATGTATTTTCATGACATGAGCAGTGTATGATCTGAAGAGGGGCTTAAAAATGTCTTGTTTAACTGGAAAGCATAATTCACAGGGGTAGAAAATAAGGTTTTCTTTCAAAGCAGTGTTGAATTCGTGGCAATAAAAGGTTGATTTATGACCACAGATTTGTGGGAAATATGATGTTATTAAATTATATTACAGTATTTACTAATCACACCATGAACTGTGATAAGTTATTGAATAATTGTTTTCCTTTTCTTTTCAGATGAATGAAATTGAAGTGTGTCCGGAATGTTACTTAGCTGCTTGCCAAAAACGAGAGAATTGGTTTTGTGAGCCTTGTGTAAGTTAAGGATGATGGTAGTCTAGCGAGTGCATTAAAGTAAAGGCTCTCATTTGTCTCCTCTTGTCCTCCTGTTGTTTTCTACCTGTGGTAGTTACTGAGAGGCTAGCAAATTAAGGAGAACCGTTGTAGTTTAACAAAGTGACTTGTAGTTATGTGTCATGCTCATCATGCTCTTTGTGGAATCAGAAGACCATCTCAAGCTGTTAGCTGTCTAAAGACTGCATGCTTATGGTGAGAAGTGACTGTAAATCGTGTCAGTAACCAGTTTGCAGTCTCTGCCCTCAAATAAAAGGTGCCTGCTGATGGGTCATTTGTGGTACTTGCACTAAGAGTAAAATTTCTGAAATGTGAATGTTTGAAAACTTAGTTCTGAGATTTCAGTATTAAGACTTGACTTTTCTTTATTACCTGTTAATAGGTTGTCTGACTTCTGCTTTTGTTTAGTATTGCACCAAACCCTGAAAGACTTATTGAAGTTCTTAAGTAGAACTGTATAATCTGTCAGGTTCTCTCTTGAGCTTAAGTGGAAATTAGAGAATTTCAGAGGTCAACTGTAGTTTAGGATGTGCTGCATATTGGAGGAGATCAAGAAAAAATTTTAAAAAATAGTAAGTGCAATTAAGATTTGTTCAAATAAGGTAATATTTTTGATTTTTTTTTTTTTACTTTTACTTTTTTCCTCCTTTGATCTATTAGGTATCAAATATATAGTGAAATGGAATCTTGTATTTGTCCAGGGTCTTGCATGTTATTTAATCTAGGAAATAAATATAATTTTAAAAACTTAATGCTGTGTATCAGATTTTGAAGGTAATACTGCTTGTGTTTTCTTACTGTATGTTCTACCATCTCTCTCTAGAGCAATCCTCACCCTTTGGTCTGGGCTAAACTCAAAGGCTTTCCGTTCTGGCCTGCTAAAGCACTGAGGGATAAAGATGGGCAAGTTGATGCCCGTTTCTTTGGCCAACATGACAGGTGGGAATTTAACCAGAGGTTATTTCTGGTTGTAGTTGAAAAAAAAAGAAAACAAACAAACAAAAAAACAAAAACAAACAAAAAAAAACTTGTTATTTTGTGTTCTCCAAGTTTTGGGATCCCATTTTTTGAATATTGATCTGAATAAGCTATAATAATATTGTAGTATATACATTTTTAATTTCTTACATGATATCTGTGGAGTGTAAGCCATGCATTTGCAAGACTTACACCTATATAACCTCACTGATCATGCAAGTTAATTCATGTGGCAATGAGTTTGTATTGAAAAAAAATAGTGGTAGGGGCAGTACTGGTGTCTGTATTGTCTAAATACAGGGTAGTGAACACAGCATTGTAGGATGTTCTTTGGAACATCTTTTTCTCACTTGCATTTTCATATTTCTCTGCTATGACCAATGGAAAGATTGTTTTGTAATGATCATCTTACAGTTCTATGGACTAGTTTGGCTAAATATATTTTGTCATATTGATCAGTATTTAATCTTCTTTTATGTGTTGCTGGAGGAGAGTAAAATCAGCTAGAAATATCCTAATAGAAGCAATTTACTTATTTACCAAAGCCTGAGCACTGACCTTTTAAAAGAAGGTGAAGATCCTCTGAAATGATCTGAGGTGCACATATCTTTATGATGGAATAAAGTCAGAGTTTGGAAAAAAAAATTGTTTAAAACTTTACTGTGTCAATTAACAGTGTAAAATGTCTTATCTCTGTCTTTCTGTTTGACTTATAGGGCCTGGGTTCCAATAAATAATTGCTACCTCATGTCTAAAGAAATTCCTTTTTCTGTGAAAAAGACGAAAAGCATCTTCAATAGTGCAATGCAAGAAATGGAGGTTTATGTTGATAACATTCGTAGAAAGTTTGGAGTATTTAATTACGCACCTTTCCGGACACCGTATACTCCCAATAACCAATACCAAATGTTACTAGATCCTACAAACCCAACTGCTGGAACTGCAAAGACAGACAAGCAAGAGAAAATCAAATTGAACTTTGATATGACAGCATCACCGAAGATTCTCATGAGCAAGCCTATGCTGAGCAGCAGCACAGGTCGTAGGATTTCGCTGACAGATATGCCGCGGTCACCAATGAGTACAAACTCATCAGTCCACACCGGATCTGACGTTGAGCAGGATGCAGAGAAAAAGGCAACTTCCAGCCATTTTAGTGCAAGTGAAGAATCCATGGATTTTATTGAGAAAAATACAGGTAAAAAGGGGTGTAAGACTACTTCTGCATATGGTTAATTCACTAGTTAGAATTGCTGTGATTAGGAGACATTTCATTTAAAATTAGATAGCTCTTTCTCAAGGCTTTTCCTTTATTTATTTGCTTTTGATAAGACTTAAAATTTATTGGATATAAACTTTTACTAGTCCTGCCTAGTTAGGTGGAGGTGGTGCTGCACAAAAGAAATGTGGTATCACTTTTTCACCTTCTGTGGAGCAGCACAGATAATGCACACATTTCTTAATCATCTGAATTAGTGGTGAGCACATTTGGAAGAGTGTGTCAGAACCAGCAGAAGTGACTTTGAGATTTAGTTGAATTTTGTTTATCAGATCAGTATTGCAGCTGGAGAAATTGGTGCTAAATAACCACCCTCCCCTCTGCCACCACATCTGTTTGAAGAAGCTTAATGTAAAAAAACAACCAACCAACAAGAGTCGTATGTTACACTTATTCCTTTGTTCTGCAGTGTTTGTGCAGCCCAACAGTTTCTCCAAAACAAGCAGGCAGACATGTATGCCAAGTGGTCAGTAGATGTGATGGCCATTTGGGAATCTTACTCCTCTTAAAAGTTGAGCTGTGAAACCACCTTTGGCTTCAAATTATCTCATGGCAGGATTCTGTACCTCTCGGGGAAATTGTGATAAAGTAACTGTATCAGTCTTAAGTGTTGAGAATACTATTTCAGCAGAGAATAGCATGTCAAAAGGAATAATTCATTTTATACATCAATTATCACGTGTGCAGTTTTCCTACACAAGGTGTAGCTTACGGATACTGTTTTCTGTCTTAAAATTTAGAGATTTTATTATACATTATTATTTCTTTATAGTAGTAGACATAGTTACCAAAATCACATTAAAGCTGTTCTGTTAGAGAAAGGTAATAGGAGATGACAAATATTATCCTATTATTCTGCATTCTTACCATCATAGCAATTCTGGGGAATTTTCACTTTCCTCACACCTTACTGATCCTGTCTTAGTGCATAGAAATGCCAATTTGACTTAACAGCAGGCAACTGGAATTGATGGAGGTCCCTTCCAAATGAGCTCCTCCACATGCAGGCTGGATGTGGCTCTGGGCAGCCTGATCTGGTGGTTGGCAACCCTGCACTTAGCAGGGGGGTTGAAATTAGATAATTAGATCACTGTGTCCTTTTCAACCCAGGTCATTCTATGATTCAATGTTTCTCTATTTTTTTATATTCTAAACTCATATGTTCCAATTTGCTACTTGGCATTTCTGCCTGTATATTGTCACAAATGCTATTTTTTTTTTTTTTTTTTTAATTTAGCTGTCCTGTTAATGGAATGTGTGATGTGATTAAAATGGGGATGAAATTACTTTGTTTACTGTAAAAGAAAATTCCAGGTAGGATGACTGCACTGTCTTTAGGCAGGAATGCTTTTATTCAGATGAAATGGATGGTTCTCTTGTGCATTTGGAGTGATATGAAGGAAATAACTTAGAAATAACTTGCAATCTTGTCCTGGGATGTAAGAAATGAATTGTAGCTGTCAGACATAGTGTTCAGCTGTGACTTCAGGGTAACTTGTCAGAACATTAAACAGAAGTTTAATGCACAGCGCTTGCTGTCAGAAATCAGAGGTTTTCTTCAGGTTATGGCACACAAAAGCTTCCTTTTGTAGACCGACTGTAGACCTGAAGTTTATGTTTGAAATGTGACTTTGTGGATGTTTTGAAGGATCAGAGCACGGACTTTTGCTTAAACTGTGTAAAATTGGAATATCCTATTGCCTTATCTGAGGGATTTTGTCACTGATCTCCAGCTGCACTGACTGAGCTTAATATGATTTCTTTTAATTTTCTATTAACATCTCTAGAAAATGGCTAGACTTTTTTTGTTAACGTTTACCTGCATACATACAATAAAATAATAGCAATTCAGAGTCTAGAGTTGGTTTAGATTTAAAATAGCCAAATCTCAAAAGCTAGAATCTTGAAAACAGAGAGGTTTTGAGGGTAAATGTGTGTTTGGTATAATTAAATTAATCATGGTAGTGTGATTTTCCTTACAATTTCTTCTTTTAATAAACTAAAATCTAAGGGATATTTGAAAGTTAACAGTGGAGGTGTAGAATAATATTTACATGATTAAACAAAAACCTTTTCTCTGCTTTTATAAGTTGAAAAGCTGTTTTGGCCCAGCAAATATGGCTTGCTTTACTGTGATTATTTTTAAATCCGTCCTTATTAATTTTGTACTTTTTTCAGCTTCTCCTGCACCAACAAGAACAGGTCAAGCAGGGAGCTTGTCAGGCAGTCCCAAACCCTTCTCTCCTCAAGCGTCAACACCAATTTCTGCTAAGCAAGAAAGAACTGCCACTCCAGGGAGCATTCTGAATCTGAATCTTGGTTAGTGTTGACTTTCAAAAGTCCAAGTATGTTATAGCTGAATAAACTACGGGGGTGCCAAAATAATGGGAACAAACTTAGTTCTACATAGATATAAATGGACGAAGAAATGTGGCTTTGTGTAATTGTTGTTTCATCAAATAAGATGTTTCATGTTTTGTAAGTGGAATTGAAAGTTCCTGTTGCTTTTTCTTTTGATCAAAATAAGTAGTTAATGGATGATTTCTTAGCTGAATTGTACAAATAAATGTTTCTAAACAGTAGATAAGTTTCTAAAGCTTGTAATTACATGAACTGCTGATGAAGTTTTCACATGTCTTGTGGTCTTCCAAACTTCATGTCCCTTCTTCACTGACCATCTGTATCAAGGGAGATACTGAGATTAAGAGATGAATTAGGAAAGTACTGCTTTGATAAAGTACTTCTGAAAGCCAAACAGATGTAAATCAATTTCCTCAATCATGTTTTGCTTCTATGAATATTCTGATTCAGTTCTAGCCACATTTTCTATCCACTTGATGTTACATGGAGTGACAGAATTTTTCCTGGCCTTCACCAAATACTTCAGGAAGGCTTGAGATCAAGTTCTGCATTCTTTTAGACATACTGTACTTTTCAGCGTTAGTCTGTGCTTGTGCACATAACCATGGAATTACTTTTGCTGCACCACAGCTGTTTGTCTTTCTTATCAAAAGTAACAATGCATTTAAAAAAAAACCAAAACACAGAAACATCATACAGGAATTGTTTGAGCCATGGATGGGAGGCATTAGCTTGAACACAGAAAATTTTGAATAAATAGGGTTGAACTGAAAAACCAATGTTATGGCCCATGAGCAGTACTGTAAAAGAACAGCTTCTGTGCTTTCTGGTAGAATATCAATTATTTATTCAACTTTAAGGGAATTTCCTTTCCTAAATATGCTCTTTGATGCTAGGAATGAAAGTGGCAGTCCTTCATTCGATAGTGTCAGCTGCACTAAACATGATTCCATCTACAAAACCTGTGGATTTCAGATATGACTCATCATGTCTTATTTTCAAGCTCAGCGTGAAAAGGGATTCCCCTAAAAAACAAAAGTGAAAATATGCAAAACAAAAATTTGTACCTTAAGCAGAGTACTAGAAGGGCTCTGTGATCCTCCTCCAATACAGCAAGGAGAGGAAGGGAAAATAGTGAAAAGGAGCCATCAGTTGTTGCTGGTAGACTGACTAAGGTGAAAAGTGGAAGTGTGAATGACCAAGCTACACACAGATTGCTTGGAAAAATATATATAATACAGGACCTGTCCTTCTGAAATGGAGATAGAAAAGATAGAAAACTTTCATGCAGTATGGAGTGAAATTCTTAAGATGGATGATAAGAAACAGTAAAGGCTTTAGAGATGAGAATTTGAAGATTTCTCCTCAGGGGGTTTGCCTGCCCTCTGGCTCTATTTTTTTTCTGCAACGTTTACAAGGCAAATTGGAAACTCAGATCTTCTCAGTGAGACCCCCTTGTGGGCTAGACAGATAAATTTGAATTGTGAGACTACTTCCATGTTAAGATGCAGGATGCCCTGGGGAGGTATTATAGTATCTCTTGTCTCTGTTTCTCACATTTCAGATTGTCTGCACTGTTACCCAGTAAGGTTTGTCTCGCATGGACAGTGACCCTTCTTTTTGTAAAACATTTTTTTAATTCCTTTTTCTAGATCGAAGCAAAGCTGAGATGGATCTGAAAGAGCTGAGTGAGTCAGTCCAACAGCAGTCCACTCCTGTGCCACTCATTTCACCAAAACGACAGATACGTAGTAGGTTCCAGCTTAATCTTGACAAGACAATAGAGAGTTGTAAAGCACAACTTGGTGAGTATCCCAAGAATACAGTGGAAACCTGGAGCACACATTTGAGAAAATGTTGAGTTGGAGTTTAAAAAAAAAAAAAAAAAAAGCATTTTCAAATATTGGAACATTAATTTTTTTCACTAAAACAGGAGTAGAGGCTATTTGAACTCTTAGAGGCAAATAAAACTCAACACATCTAAATTAAACTACAGCAAAACCTGACATTTCTGATTTTTGCCAAAAAGCTTTCGTCTTTTGATCTGTTTTTGCACCATTCTGATGTAGATGCTGTGACAGAACTATAATCTTACTATTTGCTTTGTATGCTGAAAAAACAAAGATCTGTGCCTAACTTATGTTTGCTGCACAGATTTGTATATCCAGTCACGAGGGCACTCCCTACTGTTAAAAAGCATTAACACTCTAGCAATTAACTGAAGACTAAAAAATTACAGATTCTCCTTACAAAAGTTATTCAGTCTGAAACTGATTCTTCAAACATGCATAGAAGTAACTGTGGTCAGTTAAATAGTGTTACTAATTTTAAGGTAGTTACTAATCATTCCTGTTAATATTTGCCAGTGTTGGCCCATTGAACAGGGCTAGAGCTTGCAGGTAGTGAAAAAATAGTGTGAAAGGAGGGCTGTTGAATCAAATAAAAATAAGAATTAGAATGTACGGAAGGTAATTCTCACTCCTGATACTGAGATAGGGCTGTAAGGGAGACGCTTATAGCTTAAGGATTGGCAGTTAAGGTAGTGGTACCTATATATTTTGTTCTACTGGGGGCTGGGTTTGGGGTTATGTTTTTTTTTCTTTTCCCTTTGGTAATATCAGTCAGTCTGATATTAGTATGGAATGTACTTTCTTCCCACATTTAGGAATAAATGAAATATCTGAAGCTGTTTATACTGCAGTAGAACACAGTGACTCTGAAGATTCTGAAAAATCTGACACCAGTGACAGTGAATATAGTGATGAGGATCAGAAATCTAAGAATGATCAAGAAGATGGAGAGGATAAGGAAGGTACAAGAAGTGACAAAGAATCATTAACCTTGAAAAAAAAACCTAAGCCCCCTGCACAGAATGAAGATAAGGAGGAACTTAAAAGCACAAGTCCAGAAGTGGAGAAAACAGACGATCCAGTCAAAGAAAAGGCAATTACAGACACTGAAAAAGAATTTTCTGAAAAGGGAAAAAGTTTGCAACATCCTGCAAAAGAAAAACTGAAAGGTAAAGATGAAACAGACTCTCCAACAGTGCATCTAGGACTGGACTCTGATTCTGAGAGTGAACTTGTCATCGATTTGGGAGATGATCATTGTGGGCGTGAAGGACGGAAAAACAAGAAAGAATCAAAAGAACCTCCTCCTAAACAAGATGGTAGGATAAAATTCTTATTATTTTTTCCTTTATCATTGCACTGTTGTTCAAGCCAGAGCTGTAAGCTCTATTTTTGCATTAAGATGGTAAAATATTTGTACTAGAACAATTTTTATGAATGATTTTTCATTCTTGATGAGTGATATTTTCAGTTCCTGTTATAATTTCTGGATTAAGCTAAAAAAAAAAAAAACAAAACTATTTCATTGAAATTACTTTCAGCAGCATAGAACTATGAATACACATTTGTTCTGTCACAAATTTAGAAATTTGGTTCTGCTTCAGCCACCAGTCAAACGTAAATATATTTCCATAGATGTCCCAAAACCACAGCTGTATAAACACTAGAATTTTTCGGAGATACAAATTGCATGAGTTCCAGTTAAATGCTATAAGGGAGATGGAATCTCTTTTGCTTTTGCAAGAGGGAGAAAGAGCTCTAAACCTTAAGGGAAGGGGGATTATCACCCCAGTGAAGACAGTTATTTGATCAGTGCTAATGTTTCACTGTCAGGCTGTATAACAAGAGAATGGGATATATGGAACAGTCGTCTGTAAGCTCTGGGATGACAGGTGTAAGTGATAACCTAGAAACATCTTAACAAATGATAACCTCTTGTTCTTCCAGAGAAGTCTTTGTTTACAAGCAGCCAGGATGGGTTATGAAAGGCTTGATTAACATGGTTTATGTCTGTGACATGATGACTGCTTTGTAACTGAGGGAAGGGCTGCGGATGTTGTTCGCGTGGGTTTTATAAAGTGTTTGACACTGCCTCCCCCAGTACTGTCCCAGAGAAGCTGGCTGCTTGTGTCCTGAGGAGGTGCAGTTTGCTGGGTGAAGAGCTGGCTGGCGGGGTTCAGAGAGGCCTGGTGGGGGAACTCAGTCCAGCTGGTGATCAATCACCAGTAAGTTTGTGGACCGTACCGCATTAGGTGGGTCTGCTTGGGAGTGGGAAGGCTCTGCAGAAGGATCCTGATGGGCTGGACTGATGGGCCAATCCCATGACATTCAACAAGTCTAAATGTCAAGAGCAGCACTTGGGTTACAACAGCCCCACATGGTGGTACAGGCATGGGGAGGAATGCTTGGAAAGGTGCCAGGCAGAAAAGGACCTGATGATGTTGGCTGGCAGCTGGCTGCACGTGAGCCAGCAGTGTGCCCAGGTGATACTGGTGAGGGCCAGTGGCATCCTGGGCTGCATCAGAACTCATATGGCCAGCAGGGCAAGGGACTTAGCGGTCCCCTTATATTGATGAGACCATGCCCTGAATGCTGTGTTTGGCTTTGGGCCTCCCATTATGAGGAGGATTTTGAGTTGCTCGAGTGTGTGCAGAGAAGAACAACAGCACTGCTAAGGTGAAACAACACAGAAAACAGGAGTTATGAGGAGTGGCTGAGGGAACTGGGATTGTTTAGTCTAGAAAAGAGGAGGTGGCTCTCTGTGATTACCTGAAAGGAAGTTGCGGTGAGGAAGGTATCAGTCTCTTTTATCAGGCCATTAGGACCCAAGGAAACAGTCTCATTTTCACCAGTGGAGATTCAGATTGGATGTAAGAAAGAATTTAGTTGGGGGTGGGGGAATGGTCAGGTATTGAAATGGGATGCCCAGGGAAGTGGTGGAGTCCTAATCCCTGGTGTGGTATTCAAGAGATGTACAGATGTGACGCCTAAGGGACTTGACTGGTGATGGAACATGGTAGGTTGGGTTGGCAGTCGGACTTGGTGATCATGAACTTAGATGAATCTATGGTTCTATTCTAATTCCACTAGAATTTCTATTCTGTGGAAGGTGCATGTGACTCTTCAAAAGTTGATGTGAAATCATGGATCAGATGTGGTGGTGAAAAGTTGACATTAAATTTCGTTTAGTTGTAGGTAAAACTCCACCTTCTTCCAGTACAAGCACCCAGCCCCTGCCAGAAACTCCAGTTCTCACCCGCTCATCGTCCCAGACTCCACCAGCTGGTGTGACTGCAACTACTACTGCTACTTCTACTGTTAGTGCTCCATCTGCAGCCACTGGAAGCCCTGTGAAAAAGCAGCGGCCTCTGCTGCCTAAGGAAACTGCCCCTGCTGTGCAGCGAGTAGTGTGGAATTCTTCAAATAAGTTTCAGACATCTTCTCAGAAATGGCACATGCAGAAGGTGCAGAGACAGCAGCAACAGCAGCAGAACCAGCAGTCTCAGTCACAGCAACCTCAATCCTCTCAAGGGACAAGATATCAGACAAGACAAGCAGTTAAAGGTATACACTTTCTAACTCAATGTGCCCATGATGCCATAATCCCCCAGTAGTGATGTCAGTGCTCCCAGGCTGCCTAACCAGGAATTCTTCCATATAAACAAAAGCTTAAAGTGTGGTTCTTATTTGATAAATGACTATGAAATACAGCAACTTACTTCACCATACCTGCTCTTTCTGGTGTGTATTTAGAGTCATGTCTCCTTATTTGAATGACAAAACATTTGTGTGTGTATCTGTAAAATATCTTTGCCATTCTTGGCCATCAGTTTTGAAAGACTAAACTGAATTATTTTCTGATTTACATGATGAAATCATTAATTCTGTTTCAGTTGCATGATTACCGTTGTTACCTCAACATCTACAATCTGGATCAAGTTTTATCTGCCAAGATGCTGATTTGTACAGGCTTTCCTCCTCCCCCCCCCACAGGGTTAAATCAACGTTTTTAATATTGAGTGCATTGTAGCTATGTTCTGTCATATGATATGCTTAGAAATATCAGATGAAAGCACTCTAGAATATACAGATTTTCTTCTATACTGAATTGACGTTAAATAGTACATAGTTAAATTTAAGAACTACTTGATTTCAGTAATATGTCTTTAAGACACCATCAACTGAGGTCTTTATAAAATGAATTGTTAAAAATAAATTGAAAACTAAGGCAGGTAAGTCATTAGAGATGTAAAGGTGAAGCTCTTCATGTTTTGATTTGTACTCTTATTTTTGAATTACCAACTGTTTTAAGATTATTTGGAATATTGAGCAAGTATGACAAAGCCTTCCTGTTTACTGACTTTCATCCCACTTGAGTTAACTCTATAAATAAATTCTTTGCTTTAATGAGTTAACCTTGTGTTACATTCCTTGCTCTCCAACCAGAGGCTAAGTTTGGGCTGGATGTATTACATTAAACATGTCACAGCACAAAACTAACAATAATTAGTAGCACTAATAACAAATGAATGCAAATAACATCAGGAAGTACAACTAAAATTCTTATTAATGCTCTCTTCAAAAGTAGCTCGCAAGTCTTATTTCTGAAGAAACAAAGTCAGTAATGTACTTTCAAATGGTGGCAAATGAAAATGTTCGAGACAGGCTTATGCTCATTCCTATGCTGCTTTTTGGGAGCTCTCCAAGTTGAGAGGTTGGGAGATGGGATGGGAAAGTCCCAGAATGGGAAGAACAAAGATCAGAGGGAGACTTTTGCACTGACCAGTCTAAACTTGTAAGTTTTGAAGATCTTCGCTGTATTGTCTTTAAGCTGTATAATTATATATGAGTTCAGTGGCTGGTCGCTGTAAAATCAATTTGATAAATGGCACAATTGTACAAATAAGAAAAATCTTGAAATTATTTAGGTGCATACATTTAATGAACATTGAAGTTAGAAGTTACCTATTCATTTTCATAATTATTTGTGATTAATGATCTGCTGTATGTTCTTTCCATAGCTGTGCAGCAAAAAGAGATCACCCAGAGCACTTCCACATCAACTATAACTTTGGTTACAAGTACTCAACCTATTTCTATGGTTACCAGTTCTGGATCTGCAAATACACTTTCTTCCTCAGTTAATACAGACTTGCCAATCGCAACAGCTTCAGCTGATGTGGCTGCAGACATTGCTAAATACACTAGCAAAGTAAGTTCTTGAACAAGATTTTCTTAAACTTACTTTTGTAATGAATTTTAAAGTTTTTTAAAATTTCAAATTCTGAAATAAAAAATGTTATTTAGAAACTAACAAACAGTAGGTAGAAGCAGTTAGACTTTGATGGGAGTCTAAGCTATTGTTGTAGAAGCAGCTGAATGCTGTCATTCTAAGCCAGAGGCTAAGCATGGCATGCTCTAGGCTGCCCAGGCACTTCAGACTTTTTCTCGCTCATATTTCCCCATCACTTCTTTGGGTTACGTTGCATTGCATTTTGGACAATTTTTGATATCTCCTCACCATCATATTTACAGTAAGCACTAATAATTCATCATGTGCATTCAGTAAAACACACTCATGCAACTGTTTTAAAACACTGCAAAGCTTCATCAGATTGTAACTTGTCCTAAGTGTGCACTCAAGTATTAAAACTGAAGCTTAGTTGTTAGACAGATGATGTAGTACTTGTAATGTTATAATGGTGATGGTGGAATGAGGGAGATCAGCTTTTGGTATATTCTCTTAGGTCTTTGGATTAAAACAAAAAGGAGAATACTAGATAAGATTATAAATAAGTATGCAGACATTAAAAGCACCTGAAAACAACAGAATCCTGATAGAAAATGCTTTCTTCTACCTTCTAAAACAGTACTTCAAAAAGAAATTCAGTTAAATATATATATATATATATATATATAGGCACTAATAGTAATACAGGTTCACATTAGAGTGGTTGAAATGCAGTTAAAATGGTTATCTATTAAAAATATATATCTAAAACTTTTATTTGTCTTTCAGATGATGGATGCCATCAAAGGAACGATGACTGAGATATATAACGATCTTTCAAAAAATACCACTGGAAGTACAATAGCTGAGGTTAGTGTAAGACTGAAAAAAAGTCTGTTTAACCTTTAGAAGTTGTAAAAAAGTATTTTATGCATAAAAATACCATGTAATCACATGCTACCATAAGAGTTATATGATTGTGACCATAGATAGAATTCTTCTTTTTAAGTTTGCTGGCCATATTATCATTGTTTTTACTACTAATAAAAGTGTATTCCTGCTAAATGTTGCATTGTCTCCAAAGGTAGTACTTGGTATCTTTAAAGTGTTTTCTTTAAAGCTGGCAAAACCAGATTAAACAAAGTGAACTATGAATGAATATGAAACATGAACAAGAGAAAGCTCAGAGTTAAATGTGTAATATTTTGTTTGTTTGTATTAAACAAGACAAGGAAATTGCAGTTTAGAGCAGTAGCGTTCATAGTGAATGAAAAACTCACTTTCCTAAGTCTGGGTGCATTGAAATAAAGGAATCAATCAAATGGCACACAAACAAATACAAGCAAAACTGAGAAACAGATTTTTGATTGTGTTTAGAGAAATTGGAGACCTAACTAATTCTAGATATGAGACCAAGTTGAATTGAAGTGGGTTTTGTTTTCAAACAATCTTGCACTTTTTATGATAGGAAAACCTTCCAAGAAAATAGAACACCTATTGCCCATTATTAAAAAGAAGCCTTAATGTAAGTGATGATCAAGCTCTTTGTTATAGCCTTGGTTTTTTGTATAATAGTTGTGCTATATACTGTACTCTGTCATCACTACTAAATATTAATATTTTAATATTTATTTGTAATATTCAGATTCGACGTTTGAGGATTGAGATAGAAAAGCTTCAGTGGTTACATCAGCAGGAACTCTCAGAAATGAAGCATAATCTGGGTATGAAAATGGCAAATACAAAATCTAAATGCTTGTAGCATACATTGTCTTCATGTTAGATACTACAGATCGTCCATGTGAAGGGTAGAACACCTTGTAGAATGTGCTGTCAATATTAGTGGATATCATTTCAATCCATACACAGATTACTTTTATCTGTGCATAGTAAGCAACAGGTTTCAGCCCTGTGACAGAAATCCAGGCTACAGAGATTTCTGATTGAATGTAACTGTTTTGGTTTTTTTATTTTTTAATGCACCACTGGATAATCTCTTTAGGAGATATTTTATGCTGATTACTTCATACAATTGAAGTATGTAGCTGGCAAATGTTGCTCCAATTTTCAAGAAGGGTAAAAAAGAAGATCCTGGTAATTACAAGCCTGTTGGTGTTACTTCATTTCCTATGTAAAGTTACATAGGAGGTTATTCTTGGAGTTGCTGTAAACACTTTGAAAGGCAATGCAGTTATTGGTTGTCACCAACATGGGTTCACACAATGGGAAAATCCTGCTTAAATTAATTTTGTTTTATGACAAGGTTACCCACCATTGACCAAAGGAAGTTAGTAGGTAGACACTCACAGAATCCAAAGGCAGGAACTGGGAGAATGTAGGACATTATCCAGATTTGAGACCTTCTAAAATACCTGATGGTGCACAAGCTAGGGGACCTGGTGAGGTGCTTCTGGAGGTACAGAAGAAACTGGTAAATTAAGTTGCTAAGCCTCTATCTGTATCATAGAGAAACTGTGGCAGTGAAGTTCTGACAGACTGCGAAAGGGAAAACAACTCCCATTTTTTTAAAAGGGAAAAAGGAAGAGCTGGAGAGCTGCAGGCCAGTCATTTTCACCTCTGTGCCCAGCATCATGGAGTGTAGTAATAAGCAGCCTCTTTAAACTTAGAGAGGATGGAAGACTTTCATTTGCAGAGTGGATATGAAGCAGATATACCTAAGTTTAGGGAATATTTTATTAACTTTCATTTCATGGAGAGGCAAAATTTATTTATCTTTGTATTTTGAGTAGAACTGACAATGGCTGAAATGCGTCAGAGTCTAGAACAAGAACGAGATCGTTTGATTGCTGAAGTGAAGAAGCAACTGGAAATGGAAAAGCAGCAAGCAGTGGATGAAACTAAAAAGAAGCAGTGGTGTGCCAACTGCAAGAAAGAGGCCATTTTTTATTGCTGTTGGAACACTAGCTACTGTGACTATCCCTGCCAACAAGCTCACTGGCCAGAGCATATGAAATCTTGTACACAGTCAGGTAATCTTGCTCTGGGTTGCATGTTTCAGGGGAGAGGTGTAATACACAGTGATTCCGTGTTCTTCATTTGCATGTATGTAGACATGCCTGTTAAGATTGATTGAGGACTGGTGCACAACAGTAGTGGCTGTTCTTTCTTTTTTTTCTTTAGCTACTGCAACACAGCAAGAAACCGATACTGAAATTAACACAGAAACATTAAATAAATCATCCCAGCCCAGTTCAAGTGTGCAGCCTACACCCACGGAAACAGCCAGCACCCCCAAGGAAAAGGACGTTTCAACTGATAAAAGCAAAGAAAGTGTTACAGTGAGTATTGCTGTGGTCACTTCAAACAAAAATAGAGTCCTCTGAAACCTACCCCTCAAGGCCTCCCTGGATCAGCTGGGAATTTATGGCCGTTTGCATATTTCAAAATGTGTGATTTGGGGAATAAGAGAGTTTTGTTGTTTTGTTTGTTTTTTTTCCCCGTCATCTTGGGAAAAATCTCCTCCTGTCCTCTGGGAATACCCTTTCCCCTGCACTCATTCCCAATAAGACCTTGTGTTGGCTTGACTCATCCTTCCAGCCAAGAGGGACTGGACCTCTTTCTCTCTCTCTCTCCAGGACCCATCAGTGTAGCTTCTGGTCTGGATCTTTCGATACAAGTTGCCTTCTGATAAGCAATACTGACTGCAGCACTTCCAAGCCCTTCTTGCCTGGGGGTTCAGAGGCCAAGCTCAAGACCTGCATTCAAATCAACTTACTTTATCACAACAGACTGCCACTAGGGTACCACAATGTTCCATAACACTGATACAGCAATCCACCTGGATCTACAGTTAACGAAGCAGTGTACAATTATGAAATCCTCCATAGCACCTACTCTGATAGTATTCAGTAGGCAAGGATGAGCAAATGCTCCAATAAAAGGGACTTAACATTGCATATATAGAAAATGTTTATAGAGAAGATTCTGCTTTATAGGTAGGGCTTGACTATTAGCAATTTCAGCACCGTTTTTCTTCTGCCCTTGCAAGATTTGTTAAATGAAAAATTTTATGGGGGGGCTTATCCTTCAAACCCTTTACACTTGATCCTCTACATCAGTAGGAGCTTTGTTGTATTTTAAAATATTAAAAGCAAACTAATTTTGTAGTATTGTGATTCCAGCATGATGTCTCATTGAGATAGTTCTTCTAGAATTGGGAAGCATAGTATAATAGAGAGCTGTGTTCATTTCTTGACACTTTTGCTACTGTCTGGTGTTAGATCTCTGGGCTTGACATGTCATCTAAGGGAGTAACTTGGGAAACAGATTAAAAGAAGGGATAAAGGATGTGCTGTCCCACCTGAATTTTGGGGGGAAGTTCTTTGAACTTCTTTGGCTCAGTTGAAGCTCATATGTATTGTCTGTGGCAGTGTGACCTTTGTACTACTGGGAGAAAAGGGGATCAGAGAAAATCAGTTGCCTAAAACTTTGGCCAGGGAATATTCCAGTTATGCTAATCTGGAATTGCTTTCACATAGGTATTCTACCTGAAACATCATGCTGTATACATTGATCATGTTCATAATTTGAATTTTGTTTTATAAACAAAGAATTAACCTGTGAATTCATTAAGATACAAATTTTTTTAGCACAAAGAAAACATCCAACATAAATTTCATATAGTAATAATAATGACTAGGTGGAATTCATGTAAAAGCTGAGACTTTTACTGAGGTTGCCTGTGCTGTCTCTGCAGATAGCAACAGGTGTGACAAGCAACCAGCCTATAAAACTGGTCCAGGTACCGCAGACCACCACCTATATCCAACTACTCAACCCTCAATTGTAAGTACTATGTCATCATTTAAAGTCTGCAGTAGTACTGTTCCTGGCATTAAAATTGCACAGTATTTTTGGGGGGTTGTCTCCATTTGCTGTTCTATTAAGATATGAATTCACTGGTGTAGTTTCAATTTGCAGTGCAAAATGTCCTATTTTGCTGCGCAACATTCCACCCTTCCATTTCATCACTGATTATTACAAGGATTCAGAAGCTCTCCTTAAGAACAGCTAAGGCACTGAGGATAGTCAGACTTCCATTTTACATTATTGTGTTAGTTATTTGTCCGTTTCATGTATATACTTGAACACAACATCAATGTAAATATATAGAATTCATTTAAAATATCTTTTAAATATCTTTTTTGTCTATGGTATCCTAAAGAGATTTAACGAATTCTGAGCTATGCTTGATATTTCCATGACATCTCAGTAACTATGAAAGAAAAATATGCATTCATCAATAGTCTATCTCCCATGCAGTCTTGCACATTAGCGTTGTGAAATTGAGAAATAGCATTGAATTCAGACCTGTTTTTTTCCATTGAAAACTTAACCAAGGACACTTGAATACCCTTTTATCAATCACTGGAGATGGGACAGCAGTGAGGTTTGTTTTTTATGTTTTGCATACCACAGTATCACATTCTTTCAGTGTGATATTCGTTCATGTTCTGCAGTGTTCGCTTCACTGTCAGCGTGGCATCTGAGCTGACCTCCTACCAAAAAGAAAAATGCTGATACTGCACTGGTAACTGAACTGCATGCCTTGTCTCGAGCAGTGGGCTCAGCTAAGCAGCCCATGTTTAGGTAACTTCAGTTAATTTTCTGACTGAAGTTAGGTAATAGAAGTTCGATTTTGATATTGTGAGTGTGAGGCCCAATTAGCTAAGTCATTGACTTTCTTTTGCTTTGTTTACACACACAGACATGCATGCACCCCCACTAGCTGCAACGTTCACACACCTGTATGTAGGAATACATGCATCTCCACATGTACAATGCAGTGTTTCATAGCCATCACATTTGACAGAAAAAATGTATTGCTCATAGTGGATATCATCAAGTGGATGACTTGTCACATTCCTAAGCATTTATACTCAACTCGTTTGTCTCAACTGAGAGCACAGTGCACCTTTGCAGGATTGGCCCTAAGCTGTTTGAACTGAATTGCCATAACAAGGCTTTGTGTGTTTGCAATCAAATAGCAAGCTTCAAAGAAGTTAGGCGCTCTTGTGAATAGTTGAGAGGTTCTAAGATCGTAAGGTGGTTTCATGTAACATTCAGAAAAATGGCAGTAACCTTCATCAGTTTTCTGTAATACAAAGTGTTGAGTAATGTGAAGCGTAAGTGGAACGTCTGAAGGTTTCAACCTTTATTTGTGCATGTTTGAAACGTTGTACACATTTGCATTAGCCTTGCACAGCTACAGACACCTCTGTACTCTAATGATTGCACGTGCAATTTAAATAATTTTAAACCTTAATGCATGTTTAATATGTATGCAAAATGTACAAATGTGAAAAGCTGGCAGAGGTGGAAAATTTACCTCTCAGGGAATGATCCTAACACATTTAAGGAGTCTTGCACATTCCATATCCCGCTCACTCTAATAACTGAAACTTAATTTTTTCATTTGTGTAAGTGTGTATATGTAAAAGACAGCTGTGGCAACCTGAATTTTCCTACCTGTAGTGCTAACAGTGATGTACATAATGGCTTCTTTAGAGTTCAATTTGCACTTTGTTTCCCACTAGGCATTTCCTCCCTCTGAACAACTTTCAGTGTATCTTCTGGGTGCCGTTTCCACTGAACCCTCTTTACACCTCTAAAATCCATTATCAAATGACATTAACCTTGAATTTATTCAGAGAACTGATTTCACATTTGGGTTTTATTCTTTTTGCAGTTAAAATGTCATAAACATTTAAATTCATCATCTTTGCATTCCAGGGAATGGAGTGAGTAGGCTTCAGGAAGGCACAGATTTTGTCACAAAGGAGCTGATCAACACTAGGCTGTAATCCATCTCAGTAGGGATATTCTCAATCTTTTCTGAATACCATCAAGACACTAATGTGGTTTCTTAAATTTATGGGGGGAAACACAGGGCTTCAGTGAAGTTGTGTTGTTCTTCCACATTTGCTCTGGAAGCTTACACTAATCTTAAGGGGGCGTCCTGGGAGTCCCTTTCAGATTTCACAAATTCTCACTCTTGTTTCTTCCACAAAACGTTGTGAACTGAAATGGATGCATTTGTTTGATCACCAGTTGTCCATCACTGGCATTGTATCAAAACGTACTTGCAGTTCGTGTGGCATAAACGTTTCTAAGCTTTCTCACGTTTTTGTAGGAAGGTTAAGATACAGATTTAAGATTCAATAAATCCTTTTCCAGATGTTCTAGAGTGATGTGACATTGACCAGATTGTTTAACGTTCTTGTGCCTTTGTCTCTGCATCCGTAGAATCCATTTCTACCCATAGGGATGTCCTGAAACTTCATTTGTTAAGATTTATAGGTCATAATCTGTATGATGGAAGTGAAAAGTTTATTCTATATTAGTATTTTTACAGGGAGTGTAAGACAATTCCCAGTAATGCTGATGTTTTTGTTATCAATTTGTGCAAAAGTTTAAGTACTTTTTTGTTGAAATGGATGTTCTTTGTTCTCTTCTGTGTAGACTGAACGCATGGGGGAATTCCTTTGGTGGTAGGGGGGGGAGGGGAAGATGTAAGGGATATACTTATAAACAAGGGTATTTTTGTACTCCAGGTTGATTTGTTGGAACTTTTTCAAATGACAAAGGATTTTCTTAGCCCTTTTTCCTCTTCCTGTGAATTTATTTGGGGAAAATACATAACTGGATGTAGAAGCTTTGAAAACCTAATTCTCCAAGCATAGGTAGAGCGTGTACATTACCTATAGGAACAGCTGGTCCCAGTAATTATAAAGCAACAATTATACAGAAAAAAAAAAAAAACCCTCTTGGCTACAGGAAAGTAATATATACTACTTTCTGCCTTGGTAATATTGCAGTAATTAAGGTATTAATCCTTGCACAAAATTGGAGCTTGTTCTGGATTTTCCCTGGACAATAAATCTCTATTTCTGTGGTCATGTTTATATGACCTTTAACATAACAATATGTTTCTCTTGGTTTCAATCCACAGACCATTCCTGTAGTGGTAAGTCCTTCTGCTGGGACAGTGGCAATGAGAACTGGAGTTCAGTATGTTCAGACCACAATGCCAGTCCAAGTACGAAGAGTCTAACTGCTAACGAGAAGTCCATACAATTGTTGGAATATATAAATCTAATAGAAATGTGAAAAATAAACACAGTTCTTTGGATTAACCTCAAAGGTTCAGACTTAAGCTTTGTATAAGTGTACAAAGCATTAACTACACTACATTAATGTAAAGCATTAGCGCTGGCTTAGAAAAGCTGAGGACAGGTAAGATCCGTGTTAAATCTCTGCCTCTTTTGTAAATAATGTACAATTTGTGGATGTCATTAAAGTTAGAGTACCATCTCCTTTTTATATTTGTATTGACTTTAACTTATAAAGAGTGTTTGAAGTTGGAAAAGAAAGGTTTAAAGCAGCCTTATCACAAGCTAACACTGAAAACTGGTCTGGGAAAATGGCAGTTATGCATCAAATAATATAACCTGAAGAATCTGAACAACTCGATTTGCTTTTGGATGAGAACAATTTCTGCACTTTGAAACTCTTGTAGAATTTCAACCAAACGATGAAGGCTATATTTCTTTCTGTTAATTGCATTAGGCCAATTATGACACTTCCCATCTGCGGACCTGAGATACGTAAAGATTTACATTACATTGTTTTTTACAGTGACCAGACTGTTAAAATTGTTTACAAGAAACAAGTTAAAATTTTATTCAGATTGATATCTGAAAAGTTGCAAAGTGTAACACCAGCTTGTTGGGTAGGGCAGCATCGTTTCTTATCGTTGATACCACAGATGAGAGGGGTTTTTTTCCTATTCTTCACTGTTCAATTTTTTATTTTTATTTTTATTTTTTATTTTAATCCTCTAACAAGGACTATGAAAAGCTTTTCACGTGGAACAAGAGCTAGGGTGTGGAGAAGAGCATGGATCAGGAAACATGGGCAAAGGACTTCTGATGCTGGGCCAGAGCATGTATTATTTATATGATGGAATTTATGTTTTTATGTAAGCATGAAACAGTACAGTATGAGAGAAAGTAACCCATGAAAATGCTGTCTGTTACACTTATACTGTAGTATCATTTTGTATGTTGTGTAAAACGAAAGCATTGAACAAAGCAAAGGTGATGTATGTATATGAGAAAATTAATGTATGATATCATTCCAGTACATTCTGTTGTACATTTTAGTCATGTTGATTTTTCCCATTGTTTATAAAAGAATGCGGTCTGTACAGTCTCCAGCTAGAACCCATATTAGAGGGGAAAAAGTATTAGAAGAAAAAGGCGAGAACAATATTCGTGAATTGCAGTTGTGTCAAAAATAGCCTAGCTGGCCTTATTTGTGAAGCATAATTGCTTTTAGCATATGGAAGTATTTTTTCACATTTTCTTTGTATAAAATTTGTATTAAACTTAAATATCTTTTTTGAAAATTGTGTTTCTTTGTGACTAAGAGAGGTGACACATGGTCTGCTTTGGGTTTCTCCGGTGTTTCAAGAAACTTCACAGCTTTTTATTAAACAGTTTTAGAAAAGTGTTTTGTGTTCCTGGATTTCCAGTTGCATTCAGTCTGGAGTTTTGTACGTATGATTTTTATTAGTAGAAGAGGCTTGTTGTGTAACACTGACTTGCCTTTGCATTGGGGCTGGATGGAAAGGATGGATGTGCGGAGTCTTGGTCAGTGTATCTGAGTTGAGATGGGGGCTTCCATGGTGAGCAGCGTTGTAGTCCTGCAATAGGGCATGAACTGGGGCGAGACTGCTGTGTGTCTTAGTGATCTGGTAGAAGAAACAGAGGGAACTAATGAAATGTTCCTTATACAATCATACTGTGACTGCTCTCTTCAAGTTCCTACTCCTGTCGTTATTTTGTTACGTGCATCTATAAAACAGATGAAGTTAATGTTCCCAGTGCTACTGTTTAAAGAGAAGCACAAATATTGGAAGCTTGAAACGGTGTTTTGAAATGTAGCTGGAATGTTGGGTTAATAACCTTGTGACCTCTATCACTGAAGTGTGTTGCTGTGTTTGGAAGAAAAAGAAGGGCGATGAACAATTCAGAAAGAGTGGTAGGAAATGGCAGTGCTTTCTGGAGCCTCTGTGTCAGTGATTTTTTTTTTTCTTTTTAAGTTTTAATAAGTATTGTTTTTTTCTTTCACGTGGAATAGTGGGTGAGCAGATCCCAGTGAAGAGTTATCAGGCCAAGATCAAGGTGTCTCAGATACTTTGGTGACTGCAATTTTTCCCATTTTAGCTGGTTATGGTGTTTTTTGTTTGTTTGCTCATTTTTTGTGGGCTTTTGTTTGTTTATTTATTTATTTTTCCCTGAAGATTTTAACTAAAAGTGAAGGAAGAACATATCCCTGGTTTGGACATACAGGGGGAAATGACACTGATGTGATACGAATGTAAAGGATAGGCTCCTGCTTTAATGAATTACCACGACCATCTCACTTGTATATAGAATAACCTCTATCCTGTGGATTGCATCTCTTTCACTTGGGAGCTGAGTTTGGGAACAATTAGTGGGCTGGGTCTGGAATGTTACTTTGTTCTGATTGTAGACTTCCTGATTTTCTGCTCAGTCCTGGACTAAAGACAGACTCCAGCCTGGAGGGGCTTTGCTTGGATTGTGGTGACTCCAGGGGGTGATGCTGATCCTTAGGTTTCAGCTGCTGGGGGCAGGATGCAGTGTGACTAATGAGAAGCCTCTGGGGTCATATGTTATCTTGGGAAAACTTCACCCATCAGCTGCAGGCAATGGATAAGCCTCAGGTTTTCTATCTTCTCTTATAACCTAAGAGGCACGTGGGTGCATTACTGCTGGTTTCTCTGGTTTGGGGGACAACATTATCTTTTCTTGGAGCTTGAGCTTAGAAATTTCTGTACTTCCATTCTTACTTGAGCCTTCACTTAGATAGGAAGAGGGGAGATTGATGCTGGTGTTCTTTATCAGTGCCAGTTGAATCCAAAACTTTACCAAGCAGTGGCAATATTTTTCTAGCTTTAATGCAGCTTCAGGAATCCTCCACTGTTCAGAAAGTGTGTCCTAATGTAGCATTCAGGATGCTCTGAGGTTTTGTTTTAGTCCCCAAATGGTCTGGATGGAGCTTACCATAGCAGTCCTTCCAGAGTCCAAGGCTTTCTTTCTCCTTGGCACTGGTAGGTCAGTTCATAAGGTGTGCTCAGTCTAGGCTAATTCACATCCTGCTAAATGTGCTTTTTTTACTGTCCTTTACTCAGAGATGTGGAGACATGCCACCAAAGTCCTTCTGAATGATTACTCTTGCTTTGTGTAAATGATAGAAGATAGTTGTTAAAGGCAATTGTACAGCTGCACATCCTCTGAAGGCATTTTAGAAACAGTGAGTTTTCTGTTCTCCTTCCTTCTGTAAAAGTTATTGTTATGCTACCTTTGTGCTTGCTCGGTGTCCAGTCTGTCAGCTTCACTATGCTTGTTTCATCTGTCCAGTCGTATCTCCTACAGGAAAATAGTGAAATGCTAACAATTGTTGTTTAGCTCACAGCAGGTAAGATGGCAGTGACTCCAGGGTTTTGAGATGGACTGCACCAGACCAGGGTTTGTTGCTCAGCTGCGTAGAGGCTTATGCTGAAGCCCAGCTGCCCTCTTGTGGTTAAACGTGAGAACTTGCAAGGAAAAAATTCAGTATGGGAAACCGGTAAAACAATTGCAACGTGCTCTTCCATCCCCAGCAATGAAGTACACTTTTGCAACAATTTTCTTGGCAGTTCTGTGGTTATGTGACAAAATTCTATTCTGTTATTTCAGATCTGGTTAATGATGTGACTGAGCAAGGATTTTATGCTGTGACATTGTGTGCAAACAGGTGAAAATGCTAAGCAAAGTGTGCGTGTGTTCTCTTGGGCCTTGTGTACGTTTGTGAGTAAAAAGCTGTTACGGATGTGTTCACAGGAACGTACAAATGCTGAGCAAAGCCTGTGTGTGTGTGTGTGTGTGTTTTCCACGTGTGTTCATGTGTAAAAAAAGCTGTTACAGATACCTTCCTGCCATCAGATTCTCTGGAACAGTGAACCTTGATTGTGCTGCTCTAGTGAGACACCAACACCTGTAACTGTGCCTGGAAGGGAGAGGCATGCACAGCCTGACAAACAGGCACTCCTAATGCTGTTAACTGTGGGTAAGTGAAAATCGTTAGCTGGGAAAATATGGAGAACTCAGTTACAGTAATGGTAAGTGGAGCACCAGCAGGCACTAAGAGAGCAAAATCCTGCTAAGAAGTACGGAGGTAGAAACAAGAGCGCTTGGCTTGAGAATCTCTAAGTACATTCAGAAAGCAAAATCAATGAAGCCTCAGGGGGAAAAATCAGTACTTGACTCAAATAAGGCAGATGTTAGATTTGGAATATCAAGCAAGAGCAATTAGCTGATTGACAGGGTGCTAAAAGCTGATGTCTTGCTTTCTTACAAGTCTGCCATTCCTGGCATTTGTTTCAGAGGCTTTATTTGTAGGTGTGCTTGTCTTGCCAGCATCTGTCAGTTCTCCATTGAGTTTGGTTCCCTTGACTTGAGATAAAACTTCCTACCTGGAACATTCACGCAGCTGGAAAAGCTCAAGGGAGAAATTCTGCTGGATTTCCCTCTTGGCAGGCACTGAGACAATCAACAGCTTTGCTAGAGAAATCACACTGTAATTTGTTTTGTGTTGTACTCAGCCTGAAGAGCAGTTTTTTGCAAAAGCCTCCACAGCATGCACTTACAGGATGGTTTTGTTTGTGCCTGTTGTTGACAAGCGTGGCTAATGTATTTTAAAGGTGCTTCATAGCTGCTAATTTTTGAGCCAAATTCTGAGATGAGATTCTCTCTCTTAGTCCTGTGGAAAATCCCCTCTCAGATCTAGCAATCAATCTGTTTCTTGAGGTAAGTGTTTGTAGAACTTAGGAGTCTTGGCTCAAGACTTGTGTAGCACTCATGTAAGACTCTTAACTTGTATGATGCTTGTATGTTTGATCTTGATTCACTTGATAGATACGGAGATTGTATTACTTTTGCTTCTCTCCCTCTAACATCTTGCCCCAGTAAGGCTGTGATCCTTCTGAGGTTATTTGGTGCAAGCAAGAGAGTAGTTGTTTTGAAAGTGAATCAGAGACCTAACCGAACCCAAAGAATTGAAATATTTTGACAGCAGGAATTAACTGTGCAGTTCAGCAGAAGTCCTAAAGCTGAAGCTTGCTTGTAGATATATTTATTTACATAAAAATAAATACGCACACCTGCAGTATTTGTTTACGCTGTATCCTTCGCAAGACAAGTTGGTTCTGAATGTCTGTGTTCTCTCCCAGAGGACACAGCCACTTTTTGCCCCACCAACAAATAGGACAGGGTAGGCTGTGTTCAGAGCACTTCTAGTCCAACTCAGCCTTGAGACAGGGAGTGTGTTCTCCATGTACCACTAGATGTGGTGGAGAGAAGTGGCTGGAGAGAAGAGAAGGCAGGTAATCTAGTCCCCAAAATGTAAACTTTTCTTTTTTATTTAATGCCTTTCACTCATCACAGGGTACTTTTTTCTCACCCAAACTGAGATGGCAGCATAAGGCACCATGTAGACACATGCACAATCCACAGACCATCCAAGTAAGATTTAAAAACGCAGCTATGGTTCTTACCAACAGTCCCATGTGTCCTTATTATAAATGTACACAATGTGATTTTCTCCAGACATCATCCTGGAAGAATGAATTCTTAATTTAGAATGGCAGGACTTTCCCCACCCACCCACCCCAAAAAGCCAGATTAAAAACACAGGTACAGAGCTTAATACCAGAGTAATGAGATTAGTTCATAAATTAAAAAAAAAATACAAACAAAACAAAAAATCAACAGTTTCACTCTTATTTGCAGAAGGTCCGACGTGGTATGATGTATTATGCACAGAGTACGCTCACAGTCTTTAATGTTTCCTCTTCCCCTTTCAAAAGCAAGAAAACTGACAAGCAGACCCAAGGCTTCTGGGGGTTCTCGCTGATGGCCAAAGGGCAGTTACAGCTCTAGGCACCCAGCTTAAGCATGTAACTGCAGGATCCCCAGAGTTATCTGAAGACTTTTCCTCTGTTCAAAGGAAGGACTTGATAGAATGTTCTTTGGCTGCAAGTTCTTAGAGGCTTCCACTGAAAGGGTTCTCCTTCAAAAAAAGAAAAACTGCAGTTGCTGTGGGATTTTTTTAATAAGAAAATGCTGAGGAATAGGTGGAATCGATGAAACAGTTTGAGTGAAGCCCTCACAGTGCTAAGATGTTGGGGTCTGCTACAAATATTCAAGTTCCAAGGCGTGCCGAAGAGCTTCCAGGTCAGCATGACAAGAGATTCTCCAGAATGGCATGTTGTGCTAGAGTGAAACCAAAAGAGGTTTTTTTGTTTGTTTGTTTTCTGTTTTGTTTAATTCTGAGATGAAAAGAAATTTCTTAGTTTGAGTTTGCACCCTCAGGAAGAGAGCTTTATACTTGGGCCACCAGGCTGTCATGGTGTTACAGGCAAGGAGACTCAGCTTAGAGAGTAGGGAAGGGAGTAGGAAGTTTCTGTTGCTGATACGTTTCTACTATGCAGGAAGGAAAGAGATCTGCCACAAACTGGGAGATGATGCAGGTGTGAGCAGACCATTAAATTTACCCTCCTTTTTCTTTCTGTTTCTAGAATGTCAGTACTCCTAAAAACAATTTTCTTGCCACTTAGTGAGGTTTGCCTACAGTATCAAACCATACGATAATCTTTGTCTCTCCAGAAAGCATCATAATCCTGTCCTATTTGCCACCAGTGAAAGCTGTTGCCAGTGCTTTGCGGTCAAGTGAAGTAAAATCAAGTTATTAAGACTTACAGAAATGCACACAAAAATATAATAACATAGTGTCAAAGTGTTTTCTAACAATTAATTCTTTTTCCTAATTAACTGGAACAATAGGTCATGCTGCTTTTCCTAGAAAGTTAGGGACTGCTCAGATCACTTGTGCATTTAGTGCATTGGGAAAAGATGCAGTAGGCTTATATGGAAATCTGTCCTCAAGAGGGTCTTTCAATTCCCATTTTTAAAAACTATCATTTCTACTTCTGCCTCTGTTTTACAGTTCATATTAATGGTGATGAATATAAAGTCATTTATACAAATTTCCAAGGTCTACTCAGTGCCACTTGACGCCCTAGCATCTGGACAAAACATGGAAACTGTGACCCACTTTATCTTCATTGTAATGTCTTGATTCATCTGTTGAAAACTGTGAATATGCTCTAGGAAAACAAAGCTTGCATCATAAGCATTGTGAAACGAGGATCTAAGATGAAAACTGTAAGCTGGTGAAGTCCCAGTACTACTCTGAAACTGTAGTTCAGGCAGCAATGTTCTGTAATCATTACCAATAGCTACAATCCCCGAGAACCTCAAAACAATTAGAACTTGCTTTTAAATGTTAAATTCAATTTTTCTAAATCAGCCTATGGTTTGAGGTATTTTGTTTCTTATCCAAAACAGTTTGAGCATTTTTACTTTACTTTAGATCAAAAGCACACAGCTCATACTTGCCCTTGGATTTTGTAACAATGTTGTTATCTTCATAGCTTCCCAAAACACCATTATCTGTACTGTCAGTAATAACTATGCAGTAGCAAAGGCACACAAAGCCTTAACTGACAAAACTTGTTATCTTCTCAGTGTGGGAAGAGCTTCTGAGTTTATCACTGTAATCGTACTACTTCTGAACAGAAAACTTTGAAGAAGCTTTAGAGAACATGTCTTTCCTAGATAGGTGATTCTGATGATGGGAGAAAATCCTTTTCCAAGTGTACCTACCTATGTAAAAAAAAACAAAAAAAAAACAAAAAAAACTCCAGTGTTCCCAGATGTTTATTTTACAGCATGTCTGTTGACGCTCCCCTGATGTTTAAATACAACTCAAATTTCCCTCTGGTATGTTGCCTGTGAGTAAACCAATGTTTCCTTCAAGCTATTCATCAGTGTGGGTAGAGACAGCAAGCAAACACAGACATCTGGAGTGACTGGAATCTATTGATCTGCAATTTCACTCTAAGAGGAAGAACTATTTCCTTCTCCTTTCCCTTCTTATGGTTGTTATTAACCCTCATCCATTAAATTATCTATTTTTTGTTGTTTAAAGAGAAGAAAACCTGGGCCTCTTGGCCAATCCTGTTGTTCAGTGTTTACAGATTTATCACTCATCAGACAGGTGAGGAAAAATGACTCACCAAAGAGATATTATCAGTGCTGTCGGCAAAACAGTCAAAGACTCTGCATGCCCTCCTTCTGCCTCCCTTTCTTTTTTTTTTTTTTGATAAAGCTCAGGTGTGTAGAAGCCTTAGCTAATGATTGTCATCAATCACAGCAGGTGACAGCCCAGCAAAGAATGTGCTCTGCAAATGGGAGAGCTGCTTAGACCAGGAGACACAAGCAAGAGGGTCCTTGAAATCCTGCCTATACCAGACTGCTGAACCTTCCCCCATCTTCATATTATCAGAGAGCCCAGCAGCCTTTGATGCAATCATGTTCACTGACCCACTACCTTTAAAGTGTGGCACTGAGCTGTCAAAAGCAGCAGGCTATTATTACTTCATTCCCAGCCATGCGTTTTGGACTCATTTCTGAGGATTCCTTAACCCTTCATGAACTAGAGAATTCTCTGCAGATTTCACTAGTTTTCAAAGGGGGTGGGATTTGTTGTTTTTATTGGCAAATTAGCCAGTTTGCTGAATATGGGCTCAAGTAGTCAGTTCCTCTTCTCAATTCAAATGCAATGTTCTTGAAGATCAATCACAATTCTGCAGTCACAACAGGAGCACAAGGCAAGATGCACCAAGACATCTTGCAATTGATGCTTGCCATGAACAAACTGTGTTCCTCTCCCTGTAAAGCCAAACAGGGATTCCAGGAAGACCTTGGTTACTGCAATTTCTTCTAAGCTCTGGGTTCCCAGCTTCTTCTATTACAGTCTATTCAAAAAAAAAAAAAAGCTTCAACTGGTCCCCAAAACTCTGGTTCCTGTTTCACAATGAGTGAACTGTGGACACTAATTACTGAAGGACTCAATTGGATTAGTCCATTTGATTTTGTTCTACAGTTATCTACATAAGGTATTTCTACAAGGGCCACGTCCATGATATGTTACTGAACTGTGGGCTTGTTATTCCTGACCATACTGCTTTCAGTTTCTGTTCTATTTTGATTTCAGTAAACCTTCCCAATTTCATTTTTCATATGAAGTTAATCATATTGGTTCAGAAGTCATAAATAAAGGCAGTAGCTCAGTACTAGTCCCTTTGGTGTTTACTGTAATGGCCTATGACTTCACTGAGTCATAAATATAAATATAGGTATGCATACAAGCTTGTTACAATAAATCATTCAGAAATAATTCGAAGAATTTGGAATTAAAAAAAAAAAAAACCATCTATAGATCAAAAATTAACCCTACTTACTTGTCTGAGACCACATACTGGAGTTTTCCTTTTCATGTGTTTCAAAGTGATCTTTATTAAGTAAGAATGATTCCTGTAACATGTGACAGAGCAACTACCTAAAAAATTTCACTGACTGCCAAGATGAGGGAATTTACAGTAAGAAATTGCTCGTAAGATTAAGTATTTTGCATATTAAGAATTGAGACCAATTCTAAACTGTTTCAAATGGAAGGAGCTTCATTAAATGCATAAGCAAAGAAATAGTGATTGAAATGTAAGCTTGGAAGAATCCAAGATGGTATCCACAGACTGTACCTTTTTTGCTCCCTGTTCCTCTTCAACGCCATCTCCTATTACAATGTACACAGCTTTTCTTCCAAACCTCTGCATTATTCTTTCAAAACAGCTCTCTTTTCCTGAGCAACAGAAGACAAGATATATATTTTATCTGGATGCATAAAGTAATTGGGGCTGATATTTGCATATTGGAACTGATGTCATAAACTAACTACTTGCTACATTCCCCACTTTTTTTAAAGATCCCAACTGGATCTTCATCTGAGATGGATCCTCTCTTGAGAGCTATGAGCCCTTTAACAGTTGGAGAATTCCAGGTGCTGCCAATTTTCCATAAGCTTTGTGACTTTGCACAGCTTAGACTGGCAGTTGGTAGAGTGATGTAACCCTCATTGTATCGAATTGCCCTATTCTATTCATTCTGGTTGCAGTAGTGAACATGAAAATATAAACCTCAAAGATTCAAACAAAATCATACCAGAAGGAACAGAAAACAAAAGCCCCAAGCCAACTCTGTCAATATTTATTCCTCTCACAGCTTTTCTAAAACTCAGCACACTTGACTCTGCAAGTAACAGGATCCAAACCGTGTTTCTGTATGAGGTTCAACCACACTGTCCCCCTCCTAGCTTGGTGCAGCTGCACACTTGAAATGCTGCTCCATAGGGTGGGTATTTTTCAGGCTTACTTTCTCAGAGACAATGGCTTTTTTTTGTGGTCTGTACTAGCTTAAGTGTGAGTTGTTAGCATGCAAATCACAGATGTGATGTAAACATGAATCTTAAGCTAAAGTTCATACGTTATTTGTTGCAGTTGGGTTGAGTGGATGTGTCTGAATTAGGGACAAAAGTTCAATCTGCCTTTTGGCAAAGCCTAAGTTACTTTGTTCTTACCTGTTTTTGTTGCACTGTAAATGTTTTCGATTGGGAAGACAGTGCCTAGTCCATAGAGAAGCACTTTTGCTAGAGCTGGTATCAGCTGAGTTGTGGTTACCAACACATTTACACAGTTAGGCCTAGGAAACAAAAGTCAGTAGAGGTGGCAATCTATTTTTCTCTCTTACCTTAAACTTAACAATGGCAAGAAGAACACACTTCTCACAACTGGAAGTTCCCAAGCCACTGGGGGATTAAGCAGCTAGAGGCTAGTAACCTGAGTACTGATAACATTTTCTTATAAACTTAGTAAAATAAAATAAAATAAAAAAACATAATCCAGCAGTAGTGATGCAGCCTTACTGTACACATGACAAGATCTATTTTGCAAGAACATCAATACCATGTAGGCAATGTCCATGCTTTGCTAGAGTGAACGTCTTCAGGGATTGAAGGGCCCTTTCCTACTCTCTTGCAAATCTCTGCATGTGAAAAGTGTATTGCAGATGAGGTAGGCAAGGAAAGATAAGAAAAAAGTGTAGTTGCTTTTTTTTTTCGTCTCAGTTCAAGTGACCCCCAACCCTTAATAATACAAGTCTGAGACAGGCCTCCCACAGGTTTGGCCAGCAAAGTCCTATAAATGTGTCTCGATTTGTTTAGAGGAAGGGGAAAATGGAAAGTAAAGGAGATCCTGGATCAAGCCTGTAGGCAGTTGTGTTAGCTGCTCTTACCGGGAATGTATCAAATTCAGCGCCTTCAGAGCATGTGTGAGCCAGAGATCAGTCAGCGCTTCGAGTTCTGCTCTTAACTGCAGCCAGGTTTCCCTCTTAGGAGCTCCTATTAAACCTGTAAGCAGGGAAAGCATCTTTGCAGAAGCACAGAAAGGGAGCTGCGTGCTTTTGTATGTAAGTATGCCAAAGAGCCCCTCACTGTGTTCTGAATCCTGCCCCTTCCAGTGCCCTTCTCTTGTCACTGGTGCAGGTTGCTTTCCTTTGCCTCAAGGTATATAAGCCCTGACTGCAACACACTCCTATGCAACTAGAGCTCAGCTTCCTTCCTCTCCAAAGGAATGGTATCAGTCACTTGCACTCTGCAGGCCAATGTTAAAACATCCGTCTTGGAGTTAGCACAAAGCTCATATGGGAAACGGGCAAGAGGACAAAAGTGTTCTGTGCAGAGGTTGGTGGCCTGAGCTAAGAGAAGCCTGGAGCCAAGAAGGTCTTTTTTCTTCCTGAAAAGCTGTGCACTATTTCCAGTACATGTGGGTAGGGCATTTCTCCAACAGTGAAACAGGTCTGTGGTGATTATTCTTAGATTTACTTCTTTCTCTTTCTACTCAGGGACCTGCCACTGCTGTTCTAAAGTAGAAGCAAAGTAATCTCTTGGAAGAATTGCCTGGAACGAGCTGAGATGAAAAACCCGAGGGTATCATGGTATCTTCTGATATTGTTTTAGGGGAATAGTAGTAGGCATTCAAGACTGCCTTCAGATAAAACTCAGCCATATGTTCTTCTGTGAAAGAAAACAATCTACTGAGTTTTGAACTGTTTGCTTGCTTACTAGGCATTTTGGAAGATTTGAAAAGGTTGTTCTCTGGCCAAACAAGTAACAAAATAAAGTTCCATATTCAGACTTGAGTCCTCCATCTACTAAACCAAGTATTTCAGCATATTCAGCTCTTGCAAATCCCATACAGAATCATTTCAGAATGACTGCTGAAATACTTGTTCAGCTCGGTGTTTAAGTATTGTTATCATTATGCTCTTTGCACGTCCTCTGCAGCATATTCCAGCAGGGTCAGAAGTGTTTGAGAGGATGAAAAGGCACACTTACTACCTGGCAGCAGATACTTACCCCCAACATTGTTTTTGTAGGTGTTGTACATCTCTTTCACCCGACGGTAGCGGAACGCTAATTTCCTCATCCAGTCAACTCCCCCATGAACGCCTGAGCCCAGACATAGATTTGCACTGGCAGCTGAACTGTGAAAGCCATCTGCAGAGAAGTTATATGTGCTAGAAGAAGGAAGAAGGGAAGGGGAGAGGCCATTATAATTACAGTCCATGCTGCACCAGCAATGAGTGGAAACAATTGGAAAGAAATGTGGAGACAAGTGGCAGCACAGATGTACACGGGACAAACTGTACAATGGAATTCATCATTGCTGTCTGCTATCAGTCAAGCCCCAGAAATATGTGTGCCACCCTGCCTAATGCTACACTGCAGTGTGTTATTCTTGTGTCTGCAACTAGGATACCCGAAAGATCTAATAGGGCATTTGTGGCCTGTTATTTTTATTTTACTTGAATGATTTATTTCCAGACTAAAGAATCAAGCAGACTGCCAGACCTATGATCCCATTCAGACATTAACATCTGAAAACAGGACTACTAACACAGATCTAAAAAAAAAAAAATTCTTACTGTAAACCCAGCATAGGTTTAGTGCTTCTTGCCAGTCCTGAGGTTCCCTAGACTACAAAACATCTGACTGTCCTCAGGTCACTGAAAACCCTCAACTGCCTCTTATCCAGGCAGCTAAGGTAACTGCAGAAACATTAAAATCTTAAGGGAACAAAATTCTGATGCTACCTTGCTGACTGCTTGGCTATATTGCTCTGAAAACATTAATCAAGGAATAAAAATATTAAGAAATTGCCTAACTGACTCTTAAATGCCTGCAATGTATAATGCTTTTTAAAAAATACAAATTTTTAAATACAAATTTAAAAAAAAATACTTCAAAGCAACTCCTGAGTAATTACAACAATGAATGGGGACCAGTGACAGTTCCACAACCACTCTAAATATCTTGGAATGCAGTAATCCTCTGATCTATGCCAAGGCACTTGTTCCTATCTTGAGTCTTCGTTGACGTGCCTTTCTTTGAATCAGTGTAAGTGTTTCTTCAGCACTGAGGTGAATCAGATGAATCAATCCCCTGAGAATAGGGCTGGGGGGACATGGAAAGAGGCAGTACCAGCTCTCATTATTTTAAAATGTTTGCATTAAGCCTTGTATGAGTTCTGCATATCTTATTTTTGCACCAATGACAATTACTCTGCAAGCAACGTTAAGGTAAATGTCATTGTACGGAAATAGTTTTTATGGATATGATTAACTAACTTAAACAGGTAACAATAATATTTGGTACAGTTTTGGTACATGTTTACAACTGACAAGGTTCTGGCCTACCAAGGTCCACAGTCTTTACTAGTAAGCTCATTCATTCCAGTTGGGCAGTAGGAAACCTTTCAAACTGGTTTTGAAATGACTTGTGAACACCTGTGCCAGCTGGTTGGCTAAATCATAACAGAAACAGGTGCAGTTAGACTGAAGTTCAATCTGATTTTAAACATTCCCTAGAATGATTCAAAGCTCAGCAAGGACAGGGCTTTACAGTAGGTACAGGCATATAAATGTGTGAACAAGAACTCCGTGCTCTTCTTGTGTTTAATAATTGCAGATAGCGTGCAGCCAGGCAGCAGAGAAGTGCATAGCCAAGAAAGATTTCACTATACCACTATCCAACCTCCTGCTATTTTCAAACAGCTGAGGACTACCTGACCTGCAGCTTCCAGCCTGGAGATCCCGTACCTTAGATCTTGTCCATTATCATCTGATGATACATCATCTATGTGGATCTGGTCACAGTCCTGAGGAGTATATGAAAAAAATATATATATCAGTAAGTAAATGTTTTGGGAAAAAAATAAAATGTTTCATACGATGAAAAAATACTTTAAGGATAACGTTAAGATAAAATCTTCCATGTTGCCAATACTGTCTAACATAGTGTAGTCAGTTAATTGCTACAAGTGCTCACAGCACTTGTGTAAAAACTTACTGTGTGTGTGGTGTATGAGGCCAGCTTTTATCTAAAGACATAGCAGTTCTTGTGTAGTACAGCAAGTGAACTCCTTCTAAGCAGATAGAAGGGAGAGAGGATGCTTGTGCTTTAGCCAGGAGAACTGTATTCCATAAACTCTGTATACAGGATAAGTGCAGATTTGTCAGCCTCTCCCCTTGTGAAAATATTGCTTTGGACAGGAGGCATATGCTCACTTAATTACAGGGAGAGATCTGTCTCTCAGAAGTTTCCAGATATGTCTGTCCTGCTGGTGTTTTTCCAGTGCACACTGAGAGAGTTCAGCTTCGTTTGGTGCACAGGGAAGTTGTGCTGAAGCACTGAAGAAGGCACTCTTTCATAGCTCCATGCCACAGACACAGTAAAGGAATGATGTGTCAATAAGGAGGAAATCAATGCCCAGGAAATATAACCAGAATATGTACTTGGAGCTCAGCCTGCATGAAATATGTATTCTGTATCTTCCAAAATTCTTCATTGTTTGTATGGTGCCTCAAAAACTTGTTATTTCTGTGATTTCTTTCCTAGTGTTAGCATTATCATTAGAGAGAAATCAGTAAGCTCCCTCCTGCCACCTTAATCTAATTTCTCTGTAATCCTTGCTGGTAAGGACAAAGCAGAAAACCTTCTAGCTGACAAACACTATGCTTTGTTCTGGTTGACTCAACCAGAAAAAGCAAAAGCACAGTTTATAAAAGGAATTTTCTTTAGAGTCAGAAAAATTGCAGGTAGAGTTATCCTTTCCAATGTCAGTATTTTGTAATATTTGTGTGTAAAGCACACAGTTTGTACTGTATTATCTTCCTACACAATTATGGGCTTTATGAATTATTTTAAACTAGCCCTTTCAAAAAAGACAAAATCTCCCAAACAAGTAACCAGCATTTATTTCAGTGGTGAAATGTCATGGATGGCTCTTGTCCATAATAATGAGAGCATTTATTCCAGGTAATTCTCCAAAAACCATCCACTTTTATCTTGTTCTGGTCTCTTTAGTTCCCTTTATCAATGTATTGCTGAGGTGTGTGCTTTGTGTAACTGGAGCCAAGCAGCTGAATAGCAGATTTCTGCTGGCACCTCTCTCTCCTTCACCCACTGTCATTTTTTAACCTCCCCTTCCCTATAGCTGTTGTGAGCCATGCTGGGATAATATTGATGCAGCCCACTCTGGTTCACTTGTGTGATACAGGGCATTAAGTCAGGGGAAAGGTATGTGTGGAGGGATCTGTTTTTCTCATTTGTGAATGAATTGTTCTGTACTCTGAAGTGTGACAACAGTAGCTATCACATTTCTGACTTCATAAAATACCATGACACTTGGTGAGACGCTACCTCATAGTCCACTGGCTGAGCCTATCAAGTTACTGGGTAAAACACGGGGAAGCTGGTTAAAGCAAGAATGTGGACTATGTTTTACTACTTGGTTACAAGACTAATTTTTCATTCTTGCAGAATTTCCTTGAGATCTTAGTGAGTGGGGAACCAGGGCAGGATATCTGGGCTGCTGAAAAGAAGGTCCAGATTGTCTAAATGAAGTCTGCAATGTAAACTGAAAATCCCAGTTTCCACATCTGCTGGCTTTTAAAAATAATATTCTAGGATCTCAGAGGTACGTGATCTGTGGCATGTGCAGCCTGTAACTGAGTCAAATGTGTGAGACCTCAGCCAATCCTCCTAGCTTCTGGAATTGAACTGTTTTTACTGCTGTGACATCTCTAGGCCAGCCTGTGATACATGACCTGTCTCCAGGTGGGATGAAAACCTTGAATGTGGGCTAACACAGCTCTGAAATTGTACCACAGGCTCGGAGAAAGCCTCTGCTGCCTCCTTGTGAAATACAAGCTGTTCCTGAGAATGCATGGAGAAATTCAGTTACCACTTATGAACGTTCTCAAGGTATGTCTCTAAACACAGACGTTGTCCATCTGTGTATCAGAACTGTGTTAGATAATCTTTAAAAAAAAGCTAGTGGATTCATCTAGTGGATCAATTAAGCTTGCATCCCTTGTTAAGATTGGGGGTTAACATTTCCCAGAACACGAAACCTCCAGGGACGGCTCTGAAAGGCAGTAATCTGTAAACATGCTAACCCCCTTGTTAGTTCCTCATCCCTTTGTTGGTCCACCTTGTTTTTCACACCTGTTTTTTCACAGAGTTAGGCAATAATATCTCCAAAGGGACTGAGAGTGAAATGTACTATTTTTTAGCCAGTACTGCACTCTGAACAAAAGGAGTCTGGGGGAAAAGATATAATGCTGAATATCCATATTTTAGCTTCTCTCTGATCTGTAATCTTGGGCAATTCCTATTCTCCATGATTTCCCAAAAGTGGAACAAAGAATGAGAATACTTCCTTCCAAAAGAATATTTGCCCATCTATTCTGCAGTGTGATCAGAGCCCTTTGTAGGCATCACTTTGCATGGCCTGTTTGTAGACCATAGGCATCTGTATGTCTGTACTGTTGAAACTGCAAGCAGAGGTGATGTGGCCAATAAGCATCTAAGTGCTATGTGAATAGGTGAATTAGTGGAGGAAAAACTCACATTTACAATTTGAAAGTGTGGCTCAGCAAACACAGGTCCTTGCTTGTCTGCACTGTGCTGCTAACAGACTCCAGAATGGGACAATGCTTGTGTCAGAGCATGCCTTAAGCACCCTTGTCAAAGTTTGGTGCCTTGATTCTCTGTTAAAAGCAGCCACACCAACAAACTGTGCTTCAACAAGTATCAACCTTTCCCCACCATCCTGAAACAGCTTGAAAGAAGTCCAGCTTCTAAATTCTGCAATTTGAGAGTTAGCTCATTAACAATCTTTCTAGAAGAAGACCAGAAATGTTCAGTAGAAGTCTAGATCTAGGGCTTCTCCATTCACCCACCTGCCCTGAAGATGGATGATCAGCCTGCTATTCAGCTAGCCTGAGGCCTGGAGTGAATCCCATAGGAAACTGGTGCCTCTGCTAGACTGCAGCAACAAGACAGGGTGAGTTGAGCAGTTCATTTGAAAGGATCTGCTGGTTCATCAAGATTCCTGTTCTCTGGCATAGCAGGCAAAATGGTTCTAGGCAAAGCATCCAGGAAACAGTTGCCTGAATCCTCTCTAGGAAAACCCTGAAAGCACATAAACTCCTGACAGACAACAGAGTGCCAGGTAGTAGGATGGCACTGAGTGTGGATCATGTTCATGGTAAGGGTGACAACAGGGCAGAGGGGCAGACTAAAAGTGGCCTGATTTCTTGCACCTAATTGGCATGGTTTTAAAGAAGTAAGCTCTGAAAAAGCCTTCTATTTACTCTTCTGTCATCTGCTGAGTTAACGGTCTGCATCAGTGGGAATAACTCATCCTCTTGATTTTGTTTGTTTTCAAGACAAGAACAGCAAAACGAAGGGCAGCTTAGTATTTTGGACAAGATGATGCTGTGGTACCATAGAAGAAAACTGCTCCTTCCAGGCTTCCTGAGCCCTCACAGAATGCCTGAACTAGGCTATGGATTTATGTCAGAGAAATGTTTTCCTGTGGTTAACATTTCCTGACAAGAGTAATCTTGTTTTATGCTTGAACAGTGTAACTATCCTACCATTTTATCAGTTACAGCTCCTTGTACCCTGATCCAACCCAGAATACAGCCAGAAACAGTCTCAGCCCTCTATGGCTGTAGCTTATTTTGTATTGCACAGCTCAGCGTTATACCACATGATGGTGCTAATGTATATGGTAAGCCCTGTGGGTCTAGAAATGAATCAGCTTCTCTGCCTGTTTTTCCTCTTTTTCGTCGTTGTTTTTTTTTGTTTTGTTTTTTAAGTATTATTCACTATGTCTTTCTCAAACACAACACTTGTTAATGTACAGTCCTTAAATACCACTCTGTGAATACTCAAGCTTGACTTTCATTTACCATCCAACACTGAAAGAACTGGATGGCTAATGAACAGGGAGGGATGTCTGTTGCAAATTCTTCCAAACTTAAATGGCTCAATTTATTGAAAAGTATGATACGTAAAGAACATTCACTTCTCTTGAATTCTCCCTCATCCCCCATGTTCATTACTGAAAACATTCAGCTAAAATCAAAACACCTTGATATGGTTTTGGTTTGAAAAAATCTTTGGTTTGTTTCATGCATGCTGAAGAAAAAACTGTCTCACAGTGCTCTCTTCTCTCTGCTTGTTTCTGCTCTGGCTAACTGGAACACTACTTGTTTTTGAAATTTCTAAAGTTTTTCATGGCTCTGAGCCATCCAAGTTCAGCTGCCAACTTTGTGTTTCTCATTTTTTTTTTTTTAATAAAAGAAAGTAAGATGATAAGATAGCCCAGAAAATCAGTAAGATTTCTTCTTTTAATGTAGCAACCAAATAGCACTAGGAAAATAAATGTTTTTATTTAGCATCTTTGTAGCCCAAGCTACTTAGAGGCAATCTTTCTTAATATTTTGCAGAACAGGTATGTCTTGCAGCATCTATCTCTCTTCCTATGCTGGAGATGAAGCCCAGATATTTTGTAGAAGGCTGACTTCTACTTGGAGAAGCCATGCTAAACTTCAGCTTTTTACCAGACTAGTTCTTACTCAGTTATGTGGTCCTGCTGGAATGACAGAGTCCCATCTCTGAGTGATTTTTGTTTAGCTTTGGCTTCCTTAATATCTAGGAATTACAAAAGAAAAAAAAAAAAAAAAAAAAAAAAGACTTCTTTTAAATTAAAAACTTAGTTCTACTGTAGTGGTTGAAGAACTTAAGAGGCCATGGGAGACAAATCTGACCTAAGGAGGCTGCTTCTAGCAGCCAAAGCTGTTACAGACTGATGAAAGTGCAGAATTTAACTGAGGCTGAACAACTTGCTAGTTTGTTTCATGTTTTAGAGTGGTACATTAAACAAGAGGAAAAGTTGTCAAAAAGTTTTGACAAGAAAGCAAAACTCTAGATGGACAGAGGGTTTCTATGTGGCTTTCTGCAAGATAAAGAGCTTTGTTGCACCATACGTTGAGATCTCATGGGTGGAAAATACTGGTTTTGATTGGAACAGGCTTCCCAGGGCAGTGGTCGAGCAACAAGCTGCCAGGGTTGACAAAGCATTTGGACAATGCTCTCAGAAACAAGGATTGATTTTTAAGGGGCCTGTGTGGATCTGGAAGTTGGACCCTTTGATCCTTGTGAAATCCATCCAACTTGGGATACTCTATGATTCTATTAAATATTATTGCTGCCTAAACAGAACCTTTGACTTCCAAACAGCATTTCTCTATTCTTTTATCCTTGGAGACAGACTTCATTTTCCACTTTCTGCACCCTCTTCACAAACTCCTCTTTTTAAAAAAAGAGCTGAAAGAGGAAAAATCTGTCAATTCAGATAATTCTCAGTAAATGAAATCCCAGGTCATAATAAAGTGGGAGTCAGGAAAAGATGCAACTCCCATAACATGCCAAGCACACAGTGCTGTTAGGCAGAGTAGAAATCAGAAGTCCCCACTGAACACACCAGTTACAGGAAAAGTTTTCCCATTTTATCCACTGCAGGAAAAAAAAAAAAAAAATCTTCCTTTTTGAAGTAAAGACCACAGGAGCCTCTCAAGGGATGCAGATCTTTCTCCTCAGACTCCAAGGTACCTAGAGCTCAAACCCACCCTACACACTTTGTAGATGACTCATTCAGACCATTTCTACTGGTTCTACTGATTCCAAATGCAAACAGCTTTTCATCAGCACTATACAGCTGTTTCTCAGCTGGTGACAGAATTTTGCTTGCATGACTTTGGTTGGATTTTACTGTACATTCAAAAGGATTTTCACTTTACATAAGACTTTATATTTATATAAGACATACTTAGTCAGATTTAACCATACTGCAGACAGGGAAGAATTTTCCCTTTTGGTCTTTCATGTAGAAACTCATCTCATATAATTTCATCCTGCAATATTCCTGTGCTTGAGCAGACCTCCTGCTCCATCTGTGTGTGCAGAACAGAGAACACGTTTAAAACCTCTGCAGTGGTTTGCAGCTAATTGCTAACTGCTCCATAGGATCTATGCTAATTTAGCTTAATAAAATTATTAGATAGCAGATTTCTAGAGAAGCAGCAGTAATGTCCTCATTATTAGATTTAGTAAAACTGCCAAAAGCCATCATTGTTAGTATGTATTTAGAAAAAAAATCCTTAACAGAATGAAGATGTCAAAGGGACATAGTATAGTATGCTTTCAATATAAGCCATCTAAGGGCCATTTCTTAGGGGTCAATATTGATACTTTGTTGGCCAGAAAAGCAAGTTTGTAGACCAGATGCAAATGATTAGAAAGATAGATGCTAAATAAAATAAGCAGCTACATACCTCCAGGTCATTAAAGAACAGATGTGTATCTGCAAGGTTGAAGATCATTTCTTCCATCATAAGACCTATCCGCACAGACGCTGTCGTGTCCTGTTGGAGGAGAATCAGGTTTTTGTTTTTCATTTACATCCATTTCTTTTCTGGGAGGTGGGAGATCTCAGACAAACATGAGATCTACACATTCCTGTTTCTGAAGATATGTTCATTATAATAATTTCATTTCCCAAGTGTATTTTAGCACGATTTTCCCACCCTTTCTTTTGCTTTCCTATGTAATCAGATTCTGTTCTTTCAAGGATGTATATGGTTCACCTCACACATTTCAGCCTGCACATTCAGATGAGTTTAACAAGGACATTTAAACACTTGAGGCTGTTTAAGAACTGTTTCAGTAGGTTAGACCAAGAATTGGTTTCCAATAGCATCAGTACTGAGTGGCAAGGGGATAGTTATGAGCAAGAGAGCCTGCAAAGGGTGCTCCTTTCTTGACTCTGTCCCTCAAGCCATCCATAAAAGGCCAGCATTTTACTTGACACATGAACACAGACTTCTAACGTCAAGCAGCACCATGGTGAGCAGAATCTGAAATCAAAACTCAGGAGTTCAAAACTTAAGTCTTTTTCTGTAAAAGGTGCAGTAAGACCAAGTCAACTGGACTGATTCTGTTTGGCCAGTAAAGCTCTTGGTCCTGTCCCCTCCTGGACAGGGACAGCAGCCACAGGGCTCCTACAGCTCTCAACTTACTGCTTCAAAGATGCTCAGTGGGCACTGGATACAGCCCTGGAGACTTGTCACTCTGAAATACAATCAGGTGATCTGCTGTACCCAGCCTGGTGCACTACAATATTGCATGAGTCTCAGTCACTCTTCCACCTCTCTCCCCTGAACAACTGATCTTCTTCCTAAACTCATAGCAAAAGCATAGAAAAGTTCTGAGGCACTTCAAAAATGCAAGCAAAAATAGTTCATGGCTAAACACTCAGCTAAAAAGCATTATGTCTGTTCAAATTAAACAACAAACAACTTGAAAAAACAGCATTCCCACAACAGACTTTTATTTGTAATTCATCTTCATTAGGACAGGGATCTCTCATCTTTATGTATGAGGGTGGTTTTCTCCCATTGATGTTACAAGCCATGTTAAAACAGGGCAGATTTATATGTAGTCTTTGCTCTAATTTTCTGCAGATTTCTGTGGAGTAGTGCTATTGTAGGACAGGATAGTAATTAATTAGTTGAGGAGCTCTAGAGGCAGCAGAGTGTTTGGAGGATGAGTACATTTCAATCAACCTTTGTGGCAGATGCTGTTGACATGGATGGTGTATTACATGCTAACCTAATTATTACGCATTCCTTGTGTAGTTCTCTTTAATTAGAGCAGAGTGGCTGTGGTTTGAGCCACGTGTATGACTCACAAGCACTGTGCCCATCTAAAGAAAAGCCCAGTCACTCATGTTTACACATGTTTCTTGCTGCCTCTGAAAGAAGGGCACTCTCCCCTCTGGGCAAAAAGTAAACTGCAACAGCCTTGCCTTGAACATGCCTAATTTTAAGCCCCAAACCTGCTCCTCTGACAAGGCACAGGTACAAGGCACAATTAGGGCATCTAACCCTATGTGGGTCCATGCGAACAGCACTGAATCAAATTTTACTACCCAGATGTAGTTACACAGGGGAACTGTTCTGAAGAAAATATGCTGCTAAGAAGAAATGATTTTGTAAAATAGTTTTTAATGAAGCAATTTATTTTTATACATTTCAGGGATCATTAGCCTTTAAACCTTTTTTAGGAAGTCCCATTTGTTGGTATCTGTCATTTATTCTTTATGTTTTGTCTTTAGATTTGTTGGTATTAATCACTATCAGAGAATAGGAAACATTTCCACAGTGTATGAAGTTACTTTCTCTTAAACTAAATAATATGGAAATTTAAGTGTAGATGAGAGGGGAAATATATATATATATCTTTCTCTTGAGATAGAGAATATAATGGAATGAAAATAAAACAGAAAAATGTACTTTACCACCCAGAGGGGAAGTCGTTTGGGGAAATTATTTGGCATCAGTGCTCTCACAGTATGGATATTTCCTCTATAACAAGGCATACGTCCAAGTCTCAGGCTGATAAAGTTAAAAGGCAAATCAGCACTCCCAGTAAGACATAGGTGTCTAGAGGCACCAGACTAGAGTTCCACTAGCAGTTACTCACTTGCATTACTGTTGCATCTAGAAGCAGTAGTTCCAGCTCTGAACCCCACTGTGCTTGAGTTTGTACCCACACAGAGCAAAGGCACAGTCCCTTCCTTCAGCTTACCATTTAAATGTGAATAAACAGGAGATCAGATTGATGAGCAAGCACAAAAATGACAAAGATGTATCAATCAGTGTGTTGTCAAAATTCTCTGTATGCTGTATAAAGATTTGAAAATAGAATTATGATTATTTCTTTTCTGAAGATGTTGATGAAGAACTCTTCCTGAGCATAGAAACCCTGCAAGACTAACAAACGTTGCTATACTGCAGAGGATGCACTTTTAGACTGCTAATGCTGGTGTTAGAGCAGTGTGAGTTTAGCAGAGCAATGTAAAATTGCTGCATCCTTATCGATGGCCCCTGCTAACAAGTCCTGCCGTAGGAAAAATGCACCCTTGAGCCCTGGGAACAAACTTTCTCAGTAACAGATGTAGCCAATGTTTTCTGAGGCATGAGGAGCCCAAGGACAAAAGCATTGCAGACAGCTTAAAATCAAATTTCCTCCAGGAACCACTTTTTACAGTGAAAACAGATTCATTTAAAAACTCAGCCCAGAGTACTTGGTCAATAACGTTAGAAGAGCAAGGTCCTACCCCTCTGCTCATCTACGAGTCCTGCTTTCACAAACAAAGACGATGAGAGGCCAGGACAGAAAACAGGCAACAGACTCCTTTTGTAAATAAAACCTCCAGTAGCACAGTGTATTTCTGTGTGTGTCACCTCTGCAGTGCATGTTTCTGGAACTTCCTTCACTGAAAATAAACAGCCCTACAGATTACATTTGGTGCTTCCCTCTGGTGCTCAGACATGACAAACCAGGCACCCCAGCAGAGCTCAGCTCCTGGCCTGACAACACAAAGCCTTAAGAGACTTCTTCCCACCAGCTGGCTGAAATAAGCATCACAGCAGCAGTACTCATTTCAAAGTATTTGTTCCCAAAGACCTTAGGATTTCTCTCCTCAACACATCATTCACTTCCACTTTTAATGAACAAAGGTAGCAGTTTCACAGCTGCACATTTCTGCTCATCGTGAGGAAGATGACAGGTAAAAAGCCCCTACCACCCTTTCATAAAGTATCAAAATGTACAAAGATGACATGCTTTTTTTTTTAACCTTTTTGATCAAGTATGGTTGCCATAAAGAGCATCCTTGGACATGTCTCCCTGTTTTGTCTGTCACAGATGTGACAGAGAGACTGGAGTGCTATTGTCTACTGCTGATAACACTGTGAACAAGATAACTTCTACTGAAAGTGAGGCACAGCTAAAACCCAGCCCCGTATCTGCTTGCCTAGGAGCAGTTTTGCTGCCTTTTCAACAGCTAGCCTTGCTAGAGGAAAACATGGAAAACAGACTGTGATACACTCCACAGGGGAAGGCAAAAATGTCTATTCATGTTTTCACAGGATTGTTGGGGTTGGAAGGGACCTCTGGAGATCATTTGACCAATCTCTCCACTGTTTTCTTTCAATAGCATGAGCTGCTGATTTTTTTCTGAATATCACTTTTAAGTTGGCTAGTTGCATGCACTGTTCCTCTCTGAACAAGTTCTTGTTGATCTGCAATACATGTTAAAACTGCAGTTTTACTTCACATATGTCCTACATACTAATCTCACCCTGAAGTTTATTTCAGTTTCTGCTTTAATTTTCTCTTCTCATTTTGAGTAACAATATGACACAGAAGGTGGCTGAAGGGAGCTTGATGAGCAGCCTTCAGTCTGTCCCTGCCTAAAGATGACTTCCACAAAGACTGGAGGTGAGCATGGAACAAGCAGAGGATTGAAGTTGGAAGAAAGGACTGGTGAGGCCATGTGAAACTCAGACTACCCTGTACTGCAGCAAAACAAAGGGAACACAGGATATCTAGACCCATTCAAATTAGCTTTCATCTACTTAATGAGAGTACAAATAGCTGTGAACCTCTTGCAGCATGCACTGTGTAGCTCTGGAGCTACTTCTTACTCAAGAGTTAAAGTATACAGAAGCCTGTGTTACCATATTTTCAATACTACAGATAGCATTACCTACAAAAAGTCCATTAGCTACATTTCAGACTGCGCTGTCAGCATCCTCCCATATGGCTTGGTTTCAAGGCTTTCTTACCACTGCTCCTGAAACACTGAGCTGAATTTTTCATAAACTACTTATGCTTGCCCTAAAGTATGCATTAAAAAGACATGTATTTGTTAACACCTGCAGCTAGTACTAATCCAGTTGGCTGTATGTCTACAGCCAGCTCTCCCCTCTTGTACAGCGTAATTTTGAGAGGAAGCGAGACGCAGAATTATCTCTGGCAATCTCTCAACTGCAGGTCGCTCTCACCCCCAATCCTGGCTCCAAATCAGGCATTTCCAAGCCTCTGCCTTACAGGTACCCTGTTCAGACTTGCAGGCCATTAGCAAAGGGGCAAAGCTCGTTCCTATGAGACAGGTAACAAATCAGCTTGTTGTCTGAATCTGCTGCTATTTAGTAATGTGCCAATTAAGCCGACATTAAAAATGCGAGGACAAAGTCATCCTGAACGTAGATCTTGAATTCAGACCTCCCTTTCCCCACCCTAAAAAAAAAAAACCACCAAAAAACACCCAACAAAATAAAGCCTTTCTATTTAAAACCAATCAATCTCTTTAAATCCCTGCCAAATACCTGTTTATGCCATGAGCAAATAATTACTTTTCTACAAGGAAGAAAGTATTAATTAAGAGTATTCATCAGACTCCTATTCTGTAGGGTTTATCTGCCACAGGTGTCAGCCAGAGGTTAGAGACGGATTAGTATACAATCAAGGGCTTTTCTAAGTTAAATCTCATCCTTGTGGTTAGCTGTTAATAATG